GAGAGGATCAGAGCAGGTCTCTGTAGAGGTTGTGTTTCTTCCCACCCTTCGGACCCCTAGAAATCCCAGACTCCATTTGCCGGAGAGAGTTTTAAGTGCTAGGAGAGCGATGGCTAACCTTTTCTGGACCAAGTGCCCAAGGCACGCGTGCGTGGGTGAATGCATGTGCATGCGCCCAAATGCAATGTGTGCACGGCCCCGCAAGTGCACCCTGGCACCCGTGCACGGCCCCTGCGCGTGCCCCACCCCCCACGAATGCACACACGCCCCTTGCACATGTCCTGCCCCTCCGCATGCATGCACGCCCCCCCCGGACGCCCTCCGTGCATGCACAGCAGAGACCCGAAGATCAGCTGGCCGGCGGGAGGTGCAAGCGCATGTGCAGGAGAGCTGAACTGGGGCGACGGCTCGCGTGCCATCAGAGGGTGCTGAATGCCACCTCTGGCACGTGGGCCATAGGTTCGCCATCACGATACTAGGATGTCAGTTACAGCTGTGCTTACTCCATGCAAATCTTGATGTTGTGACCTCAGCATCCTGAGTCATTAAAACACACAAGTAGTCCCAAAAACCACATTTATTGCAATAGCTGTGAATTATGTTCATTCACAGCCGAGTCCCAATTAGTTGCAAAAAGTCCTTCGGGAGAAGTCCCTCGGAATAATCACCAACCTTCATTTCCCTTGACACTCTGCCAAAGACCTACTTGGCAAAGCCCCACAGAGTCCAGAATCAAACAGTGATGCCGACTGGGAACAGAATTAACAACGTTGCTTTCCTGCAAAGAGCCCACGTGCCTTTGCTCCTCTTTTAAGCCTTATGGGCGGGGCCAATCATCTCCAGGCCTTACTCCCGAGTTGTCCCTTTTGTTTTAACTGTTCTTGCCTTCTGGAAGCTCTGCGCATGCGCACACTAGGAACAGGCTCCTCCTGTTCCTCTGCCTCTCTGATGTTCGACTCTGGAGGCTCCAGAGTCTGCACATCACTCCCCGATGGCCCTGGCCCCATCTCTGCCTCCGATGCAGAGCCCTCATCCAAGCCTTCCCCAGACTCCAGGACTGGCTCATGTTCCTCCCTAGCCTCCTCACTGTCCGACTCCACTGTCAGATCTGCAGGCTGCTGGCGGACCACAACACTTGATTCCAACTACAGGCTTAATTTGTGCTTGAGCTGAAGACCGTTCACAAGTTCAGTTTGCAAGTTCCTGTGATGTCTTCTCCAACCAGCTATTATAAGCACAGGAATACTGGCCAACGTAAAAAAAATAAAAATAAAAATCAAGATCTGCTAAAATGACAACCATGACATGATCTCTATTATCTCCAAAGAAGCAATGCTTCTAATAAATATGCTTCCTATGCTGTAACAGGTCTCCATAATAGGGCCTTATCTGTTGTTCTTGCAAAAGTTTCTGGACTTGCAAGTGAAGAAATGAAATAATTTAGGACTCTTCAGGTTAGAAACAAAACAGAAGATAAATTTTCTTCAGAAAAGCCTTACCAGGCCTATCTTTCTGCTTAAAAACTCCCTTTTTATGACCTTGTAATCCCTTAATTCAGGGTAGAGTCAGGGCAACTGGATGGAGCTGGCATGGTGGCCTAGAGATGAAGACACTCACCTCCCACTCAGAAGCTTGAGAGTTCAGTCCTAGGTAGCGGCAGGTTTCCTAGGACGCAAAGAAAAAAAAATTGCTGTGAACTCCACATAAGCGTCAGGAAGGGAAACCGGCCAGTAAACGCTCAACTCCATCCAGTTGCCTATCTTTTTGTTTGATTAATTTATTTCTCCTAAAAAACTGAATCTCCATAATTGGGAATGATAAGGCTACCTGCATTTTAGGTAAATAAGAGATTCCTGTTTTTGCTGATTGGCGAAGGGGAGATGAAACTTTCCCATATTAATTAAAGGAGAAAATGCAAAGAAGGAAGTTGAGCTGAAATCTCATTTTCTGAAAATTTAATGGAGAAGCGTTAATTGCAGCTTTGGGCAAAACGTCTTCACATACTGCAAACCTTTTTGGTATGTTATTAAAAGCCCTCCACAAGTTAATACAAGCGTTCTACTAATTGATTGGGTAGAAATCCAAGTGTGTTTTCTCTTGCCAGCACACACACAGGGTTGCTTCCATTTCATTGGGTTATCACCCAGTCACACTCAACATGTTGTTTCCCAGTCAAAACTACGTACGTCTGGAAGATAACTGGAGATACAATTGTTCAATTCTTGCTAGGAAGTTGAAGTCATAATGTTTAGTTAGCTAAGATCACCACAGCCAGTTTTTTAAAGGAAGATGGGGGGGGGGTTCTCCCATACACGTTACCTGTGCATTGGGGCAGTGCACAATCTTTGTGCACTGAGGATGTGGTGATAGAGGAAAATGTTGTGAAAGGCCAGGAAGTGGTTTTCTATTTTCGTGAAAATAAATTGTTTTGGAAGCAGATGGGAGGAAGCTTTCCAATAAAGTGGATGGGATTAAAATTACCATTTGCATTGGAATCAGAGGTGGGTTTCAGCAGGTTCTGACCAGTTCTGGAGAACCAGTAGTGGAAATTTTGAATAGTTCGGAGAACCAGTAGTAAAAATTCTGACTGGCCCCACCCCCATCTATTCAGTAAGATTACGGTTATCTGAAATACCGTACCTCAGAATTGAGTTATTATTCTTTGGATTCTTGTCGGCTGTTAATGAAGTTAAATTAACAGCCCTTGTTCAGAAAAGACTGATTTAAACTGTACTTGTGTTTGAACAACTACAAAGAAAGCTCATTAGTAGTCCTTAGTTAGTAAACTAAGGTTTGTACGGACTTTGTGTGTGCTGCATTCTTTGGGGTCCGTAGCTGGGGCAGAACAATGGGTTCCAAGGAATCCAGACATCATCCAGGAACGACCCTCTAACAGATCTAGGGTAGGCAAGATGGCCTAAGGCGAGATTGCCTCTCAGATCACCAGGGAGCATTTCCTTCACAAGGGTCATCCTTAGCACCCTGGACTACATCAGCAAACCAAACACTTGAAGGAGGCAAAGTTTTGCCTACTCCTGCTGAAAGGAACACACTGTTGTGGCTCACCGGCGGCCTGCAGAGCTGGTAGCAGAGTCGGACAGTGAGGTGGTTGGGGAGGATCATGGCCCAGCTCTGGGGGCTGTGGAAAGCTCGGGCGAGGGCTCAGCGTCAGAGGCAGAGAGGGAGCTAGACAGCAGTGAGCCAGAAGAAGAGTTGGAGCCTGTTCCCAGTGTGTGCATGCGCAGAACTGCCAGAAGACAAGAACAACTATGAAAGCAGGGTCGACTCAGGAGTAAAGCCACGCCTTGGAGGTGATTGGCCCCTCCCATAAGAAACAAAAGACAAGCGAATGGGGAGGGGGCTTTTGCAGGAAACAATTCGTTCAGCCAGCCGTTGCCAAAGTGGAAAGTTCTGTTCGTGACTTTAAAAGACTCTGTGCCAAGTTTTGCCTTGTCTGCGGTTGGAAAGTAGTTAGGCGGCAGCTTGCCAAATGAGATAAGGTGTGTTGAGAAATATTCCTTTGAAAAACTGTTTGGACAAACCTTGCTGGCTGTGAATGAACATAATTCAGTCGTGTAAATAAAAGGGGGATTTGCCGGGACCAATTCTTGTCTCCTGCTTGTTAAGGGAGCCTAGATCAGAACACACACTTGCACGACTGATATCTTCTTCAGGGATATTTCAAATTACCTGATCTGTTTCATGTCTTTTATTGTCACGTCCTTCACCCGTTCAGTCTAGAAGGATAACTGTTGGAACAGATTCTGTGCTAAAAAAAAAAAAGTTAGTGCAGTAAAATATTGTTATAAAGCCTTCCTTCAGCTTGGATGCCAAGGGTTGATTGCCATCTGGTGGAACATGCTAGGAACACTAAACAGTTGTTTAGAAAATGCATGTTTTTCAGATGCTTGTTATCAAATAGGATATCTGCCTTGGATGAATTTGCCAGCTTTTTATTTTGAAAACATTAAAATAGCAAAAAAAAAAGTGAGCCTGCTTCTTCAGAGGCAAATAAATCTTTCACACAATTCTATTTTTTCCAAAGTGAAAGCTGATGGAAGGAAACATTTGTGGAAAAATATGTTATATTGTTCCTTTAGTTTCTTATTTCGCTGACCAGCCTCTGATCACTAATTTCTTAGGAACTCTTGGACTGCTTGGCTATTTTTTAATGTTGCAATACTGTTTTTGAGATGCGGTGGCTCAGTGGCTAAGACGCTGAGCTTGTCAATTCGACCTGTCGATCGAAAGGTCGACAGTTCAGCGGTTCGAATCCCTAGTGCCGCGTTACGGGGCAAGCTCCCGTTACTTGTCCCAGCTTCTACCAACCTAGCAGTTCGAAAGCACGTAAAAAATGCAAGTAGAAAAATAGGGACCACCTTTGGTGGGAAGGTAACAGCGCTCTGTGCGCCTTTGGCGTTGAGTCATGCCAGCCACATGACCACTGAGATGTCTTCGGACAGCGCTGGCTCTTCGGCTTTGAAACGGAGATGAGCACCGCCCCCTAGAGTCAGGAACGACAAGCACGCATGTGCGAGGGGAACCTTTACCTTACTGTTTTCGAGTTTTCAATCTCCCTTTCTCCTTTTCTTTACTTTAGCACAGAGGTCTTCAAACTTGGCAGCTTTAAGAATTGTGGACTTCAACCGGCTGGAGAATTCTGGGAGTTGAAATCCACAAGTCTTAAAGCTGCCAAATTTGAAGACCTCTGCTTTAACATCTTCCTCTTTTGCAGGTGCCTTCATCAATACGCACATACACACAAAGCAGGCAACATCCCTTGGCACACAAAGCTGACTCAGAAGCTACTTAGCAACTTCCATCTTTTCGTCAACCAATCAGCCCATCAGTGTCAGAAGCTTCACACAAGTAAGGCAAAAATAATAATAATAAAAAAAAATTGCAGAAAGGTTGCAGACCCGACTATAATTTTCAAAGGATAGATATACATCTAAATAAAATGATACTTGTGCCGGCCATTAATGACGTAGACAAAAGAGTTGTCTGTACAATGACTGGTTTTATTTACCATAAAGCAAACCCCCGTTCTTGAAATGTTTAACACTTAAAGGTTCCAAAAATTCTGTCATGAAAATACATCACACTGGAGAAAACAAGGTTGTTTTCTTTCAGGCAATATTCAACGAAAGATAAAACACAGAGGTTTTGCTCGAGTTAGTAGCACACAGTCCAATGAGATTAATTTAATGCCGACATCAACCATTTTTAGTTAGCTTTTTTAAATAAGAATATGAGAAAAAAATTAAAAAGTATCAAAAGGGGGGAAAAAGAGCCAAAATATAATGCTGTTTTTAAAGGAAACATTTTTTTTTCATAAACACATTAAAAGATTTACCTTAATTTTTTATTTATCCTCCCTTTATTATTTTACAAATAAGTCAAGGCAGTGAAGGTATCCAACACACCTCCCTCCACTATTTTCTACACAACAACCCTGTGAGATGGGTTGAAGAGTGATTGGCCTGAAGTCACCAGCTGGAATTCATGGCTAATGCGGAACTTGAACTTGGTAGTACAGTGGTCTAAAGCACCCTGTTATTAAGACCAGCTGCCTGCAATTACTGCAGGTTTGAATCTCGCCAAGGCTCAAGGTTGACTCAGCCTTCCATCCTTTCTAAGGTAGGTAAATTGAGGACTCAGTTTTGGGGGCAATAAGCTGACTTTGTATAAATATACAAAAGGATGAAGGCTATTGCTTATTGCTTAGCGCAGTGGGTCTCAACCTTCCTAATGCCGCGACCCTTTAATACAGTTCATGTTGTGGTGACCCTCAAACATAAAATTATTCCTAAAACCATTGAAAATATGTGTTTTCTGATGGTCTTAGGCGACCTCTGTGAAAGGGTCGTTCGACCCCCAAAGGGGTCCCGACCCACAGGTTGAGAACCACTGGCTTAGCGCATTGTAAGCCGCCCTGAGTCTCCGGAGAAGGGCAGCATATAAATCAAATTTTAAAAAAACCAAAAACTCATGGTCTCTCACTTTCTAGCCTGGTGCCTTTAACCACTAGACCAAACTAGCTTTGATAACAATTTAATATTTCATAGCATTTTTTTTTCCCTACCAGTGATTTATGTGCAATTTTCCATTTTCGTTAGATGTACATGTCTCTGTGAAACTGAGAGAACAAGGCAGGGAAAGCTTTTGCAGCGTTTTGATAAGCTGACACTGTTTTCATAGTGCTGAAGAGCCATTTGGACGGCTCACGTAAGAATCAGCATTACAAGTCTTCAGCAACAAGCAAGTTGGTCATGAAAGTTTGCCAGATTGTTTGGTTCAAAAGACATTGTTTCATTCAGAACAAGATTGTTTGGTTCAAAATATATATTGTTTGGAATCGCAGTGTTCCAGTATTTGAGGGGCTGCCACAAAGAAGAGGGAGTCAAATATGTTGATGGTGCAACTGGATAAATTTGAAACTGAAACTTATTTTTTTCACCTTTTTTTTTTCACAGTATAGCAATTGTTATATCTTCAGTGAAACAGCCAGCAAATTGGAAATATACAGGAAATAAACCTTTAAAAATTAATCTACCACAGTGAACTCCTTCATGCAGATATCTGTCGTCTAATGTCCATTGGCTACATCTGAATGATACAGTCAACATTTTATCAAATATGAGGCACATGTTTCAACTGGGACAATAAAAGAAATTTCTGAGTTAATACATAATTTTAAGATTTTTAGATCATATACAATAAAGATAAAAAATGCATTTTGAAAGATTATTGGTTAATAGGTGTTTAAAAAGCACTGTATTTTCTACATCCATAAGAAATTTACACAACCAATAACCAACATCTTCAACAAAAAATGAAGGTGAATGAAGGTGAAATCTTCTATTTCTCAGAAGCTTCATCTCAGTGAAAAGAAAAAAAATCTTCTCCTAGATTTAATTTGTCATATTGTCAGCAGCCTAAGAAAAAAGGATTTTGATTATACCGGTGTAGGTTCATAAACCACTGCAAATTTATAGCAATATGTCGAACATTTATTGGAACCATTCTGGCTATCTAAAATGCCTGTAGAAAGCAATGATTTACAGACTGTCTTGCAACCAGTAAAATCATGCTGCCTGAGAGCTGCCAATAGAGACTCTCCGAGCACCCAAACATATTCCCAATTAATTATAAAAGCTAAAGCAGAGGGGTGAATCGCTAACTTACAACAGAATGAAAAGACCTAAACTTGGGATCGATCTATCTATCTATCTATCTATCTATCTATCTATCTATCTATCTATCTATCTATCTATCTATCTATCTATCTACCTACCTACCTACCTACCTACCTACCTACCTACCTACCTACCTACCTACCTATCTCCCTCCCTCATTACTTTGAGGATGTAATACTGGGGAGCAATTCTAAATCAGTTCTTCCCATCGAATGGAAAGAACCACAGGCAAAAGAATTTGCAAACATGGGCACTATGTGAGAGGCAGCTACTCCTAATTTGAACTGCTAATGACGAAATAAGAACTTTGCTAGCTCAATACCACTACAGGTAGCCAATGGTGGGTTGCCCCCAGTTCGCACCAGTTCTATAGAACTGGTAGTAAAACCGGCGGGAGGCCCACTGACCCCGACGTTATCAAAACGCTTCTGCGTATGCGCGCGGCCCTGCTGCGAACTGGTAGTAAAGGTAAGTAGAACCCACCCCTGCAGGTAGCCCTCCACTTAGGATCACAACTTTCCAAAATTTCCATTGCCAAGCAAAAACAGCAAATTCTACCCCATTTTACGACATTTCCTGCCACAGTTATTAAGTGAATCCCTGTAGTTAAATTAGTAACACGGTTGTTATGTGAAATCTGGCTTTGCTGTCGACTTTGTTTGTCAGAAAGTTGCAAAAGATGATCACATGTTCCCGGGACATTGCAACTGTCATATGTACATGCAAGGCTAAATTTTTATCACATGACCGTGGGAATGTTGCAACGGTTGTGTGAAAAAACGGTCATAAGTCACTTTATGGCAGGGGTGAAATGCTCCCGGTTCGGACTGGATCGCCTGATCTGGTAGCGATGGAGGCGGGTGGTTCGGAGAACCAGTAGCAAAAATCCCTGCCCCCCCCCCATGCCCAGCTGAGCCGCGAAATCATCAGAGGCTTTTTTTTTTTTTAGTTTTTAAAAGCATTTTTTCTACAACCTCTTCGGCCGAAAAAATGCTTTTAAAAGTTTTTTAAAAAAGCCTCTGATGATCATGCAGCTCAGCTGGGATCGTCAAAGGCTTTTAAAATCATTTTTTCTACAACCTCTGAAAAAATACTTTTAAGAGCCTCTGACGATCCAAGTTGAATTGCCTGATCAGCAGAGGCTTTTTTTTCTTTTAAAAGCCTCTGACGATCCCAGCTGAGTTGCCTGATCGGCAGAGGCTTTTAAAAGAAAAAAAGCCTCTGCCGATCAGGCAACTCAGCTGGGATCGTCAGAGCCTTTTGAAAGCATTTTTTTACAACCTCTTTGCCGAAGAGGTTGTAGAAAAAATGGTTTTAAAAGTAAAAAAAAAAAAAATTGGCCACAACCACCCAGTCACATTACCCCCCCCACTCACTAAGCCACACCCACAGAACCAGTAGTAACAAATTTTGGATTTCACCACTGCTTTATGGCCACTTATAGTTGTAAGCATCCCCATAGTCACGTCACCAAAAATTCAGATGTTTGGGAACTGACTTGTACTTATGATGGTTGCAGGGTCCTGGGTCATGTGATCACCTTCTGTGACCTTCTGACAAGCAAAGTCAATGGGGAAGACAGATTCACTTAACAACCATGTTACCAACTTAACTGTGGCAAAAAAAAAAGTCAATACAATGGAGTGAAACTCACTTAACAAATGTTTCATTTAACAACATAAATGCTGGGCTCAATTGTGGCCGTAAGTCGAGGACTACCTGTACCGCCCTGCTATACAGTTTGATGTCCCAAGGCACAAAACAGTGTTGTGGGAATTACCGTATTTGTCGGAGTATAAGATGCACCTTTTTTCCCCCCAAAAGGGGGTGAAAATTTAGGTCCGTCTTATACACCGAATGTAGCCCCGCCCACCCACTGGCCCCCACCCTTTGGCCTCTGCCTCGCAGCAGTTACCTCCTTGCAAGCAAACAGCAAGAAGAAACAGCTCCTTTCAGCTTCAGCACAGCCTAATTAGCACAAGTTGATTGGATCGGCCTCCCGACTCTCAGCTGATTTGTTCTCAGCTGTTTTGCGCAGGCTCTGCTGCTTGCTGCAAAGAGGTAAATTGCTGGAGCAGATTTTTTTCCCCCCCTTGTCCTAATCAAGCTATGCTGAAAACGAAAATGAAAGTAAAGCAGGTTGTTTGCTGCAATGAGGCAAAATTGCTCAGAGGCAGAGGGAGATTTCTTTTTCTTCTTTTCCTCATCAAAAAAGGTAGGTGTGTCTTATACTCCGAAAAATATGGTAGTTGTTTAGCCGAGTAATGGCATTAGGGGGGGAAAAAAACCTGTCTTTGTCTCTAGTTGTTTTGGCATGCAATGCTTTCCTTATTGCCATGCGCTCAAAAGCCTGATTGGGCTTTTATTATCAGGGGATGTTTTATTTTGGGGAAAACAGGTAGATAGAGATAGATAGATAGATAGATAGATAGATAGATAGATAGATGATAGATAGATAGATAGATAGATAGATAGATAGATAGATAGATAGATGATAGATAGATACCGTGTTTCCCTGAAAATAAGACCTGTCTTATATTTTTTTTTAAAACCCTGAAATAAGTGCTTGGCCTTATTGCCATGCGCTCAAAAGCCCGATTGGGCTTTTATTATCAGGGGATGTTTTATTTTGGGGAAAACAGGGTAGAGGTAGAGAGGTAGAGAGGTAGAGAGAGGTAGAGAGAGAGAGAGAGACAGACAGACAGACAGACAGACAGACACCGTGTTTCCCTGAAAATAAGACCCTGTCTTATATTTTTTTTAAAAACCCTGAAATAAGCGCTTGGCCTTATTGCCATGCGCTCAAAAGCCCGATTGGGCTTTTATTATCAGGGGATGTTTTATTTTTGGGGAAAACAGGGTAGAGGTAGAGAGGTAGAGAGGTAGAGAGAGGTAGAGAGAGAGAGAGAGACAGACAGACAGACAGACAGACAGACAGACACCGTGTTTCCCTGAAAATAAGACCCTGTTTTATATTTTTTTTAAAAACCCTGAAATAAGCGCTTGGCCTTATTGCCATGCGCTCAAAAGCCCGATTGGGCTTTTATTATCAGGGGATGTTTTATTTTGGGGAAAACAGGGTAGAGGTAGAGAGGTAGAGAGGTAGAGAGAGAGAGAGAGAGAGAGAGAGAGAGAGAGAGGACAGACAGACAGACAGACAGACAGACAGACAGACACCGTGTTTCCCTGAAAATAAGACCCTGTTTTATATTTTTTTAAAAAACCCTGAAATAAGCGCTTGGCCTTATTTGCCATGCGCTCAAAAGCCCGATTGGGCTTTTATTATCAGGGGATGTCTTATTTGGGGCGGGGGGAAACAGGGTATGTTGTGCAATGACAATAAAGATTTGAAATGGGAAGAGGGTGTGGGGCAGAGCAGATCTAGGGGGAGGGGGAGGAGCTTTGGGGGTGGGGTGAATTAATTAATTAATTCCCAGACCGTCCTGGGGGTGGGACTGGGGGGGGGTCTCCCGGCCGTCGCCAGAGCCCATCAGTCCGCCCCGGCCCCTTCCCGCACCTTCAGAGCCTCGGAGGCCTTTCGTAGCTCCCGGATGACGGCGGACAAGGCCTCGGGGTTGATGCCCTGCTCGCACAGCCGTACGCAGATGGAGAGCGTCTCGGCGTCCAGGCCGGTGTTGAGCAGGCGGGAGATCTCCATCAGCACTGCAAGAGAAAGCGGGGTTAGGGTGAGTGGGTGGGTCGGGTCAGTTAGCTCCGGGGCTCGTCTGCATGGCCTCGAGGGGACCCCGGAGGAAGAGGGAGAGAGGTGAGGAGACGGCCACCCGCCCTGAGCCCCGGTCAGGGCTCGTCTGCATGGCCTCGAGGGACCCCGGAGGAACAGGGAGTGGGGAAAGATGGACGGCCGCTCTGAGCCCCGGTCAGGGCTCGTCTGCATGCCTCGAGGGGACCCCCGGAGGAAGAAGAAGTGGGAAAGATGGACGGCCGCTCTGAGCCCCGGTCAGGGCTCGTCTGCATGGCCTCGAGGGGACCCCCGGAGGAAGAAGGGACACACCGTCCATCGTTTCCCTCACGGCGTTCAAGTTGCCGGAGGAGGTCGCCATGGCGGCAGCGTCCGCGACCTTTCACCCGGAAGCCCAAACGGAAAGAGGAGTAAGTGAATAATAATAAATAATAAAAAAAAACCACCGCGGCTACCATAGAGCGGAGGCGAAGAGAGAGAAGAGCGAAGGAAGCGCCGTCCCCCAGCCAATGACGTCGCGCTCCCTTTTGAATGCGGCGGCGCCTCTTCCCGGAGAGGCTGCTTCGAAGGGAGGGGGCGGGGAAAGCCCTCTTCCCGCGCTCCGATTGGCCGGCCGGCGCGGAGGAGTTAAAGAGCCGTCGGCCACGGCAACGAAGCGTTGCGGGGGGGTTGGCAGGTCGTAGCGAGGGGGACGTTGCTGAGCGGGGGAAGAGCCGGGATGCAACGGCGGGGAGCGCCGCCGCCCGAGACTCCCGGCCGGATGCAGAACCCCTTCGAGAGTCCCGGCGACGTCCGCCACTTGCAGGAGCAGACCGTCTGCAGCCCCAGCGCCTTCCGCGCCGCCCCGCCCGCGGGGGTGAGCTGGGGTGGGGGGGAGGGGGTTGAGAGGAGGGGGGGGAGGAGGCTTGGGGAGCAAAGTGTGGGGGCAGAAAGGATTTAAGGGAAGGTTAGGGGTGCTGGGGGGCAGGGGCAGAGGGGATCTAGGAGAAGGGGAGGGGTCCTAGACGCTTGAGAGCAAAGAGGATCTGGGAACAGAGGGGCTGTAAGAAGGTTAGGGGTGCTAGACGCCTTAGGGGAGCAAAGACTGGGGCAAGGGGGATCTAAGATAAGGTTGGGGTGCTGGAGGCTTTGGGGGGGCATAGAGGGCCTGGGGTCAGAAGGGATCTAAGAGAAGGGGAGGGGTGCTTGAGGGGAAAGATCTGGGGCAGGGAGGATCTAGGAGAAGGGGGAGGAGTGCTGGAGGCTTGGGGGCACAGTCCCTGGGGCAGGAGGGATCTAAGAGAAGGTTGGGGTGCTGGAGGCTTTTGGGGGGCATAGAGGGCCTGGGGGCAGGAGGGATCTAAGAGAAGGGGAGGGGTGCTTGAGGGGAAAGATCTGGGGCAGGAGGGATCTAAGAGAAGGTTGGGGTGCTGGAGGCTTTTGGGGGGCATAGAGGGCCTGGGGGCAGGAGGGATCTAAGAGAAGGGGAGGGGTGCTGGAGGGGAAAGTTCTTGGGCAGGGGGGATCTAGGAGAAGGGGGAGGAGTGCTGGAGGTTTTGGGGGCACAGTGCCTGGGGCAGAAGGGATCTAAGAGAAGGGGAGGGGTGCTTGAGGGGAAAGATCTGGGGCAGAAGGGATCTAGGAGAAGGGGGTAGGGGTGCTTGAGGCTGGGAGGGGGGCTCTGAGAGAGGGGTGGGGGGGTGGAGGCTTTGGGGGGGCATAGAAGGTCGGGGGGGCAGAGGGGATCTAAGGAGATCTGGAGGCAGAGGATGTCAGAGGAGAGAAGAAGAGGGCTCTTCCAAAAGCCCCTTGAACCTGCTTCTGCAGAGCCCCGGGCGATTCATGTGGTCCATTGACGAGCTGGCCCTGATCGACCCAGTGGAGATCAACTCAGAGGACATCCACCGCCAGGCCTTCTACCTCAGCCAGACCAGGTGGGGCAGGGCAGTGGGGTGGCTGCAGGCGTTGAGGGGGCTCCCCCTGGATGCCCCTCACTCACCCTTCCTTCCTGTGGGGTGGCTGCAGGCGTTGGAAGGGGTTCTCTCTGGCTGCACCTCACTTATCCCTTCCTTCCTTCCTGTCTTTCATAGGATCGACAGGGAGATCGAAGAGCGGAGGCAAAGGGCCATCGAAGAGGTAACTACCATCCCCATCCTTGGTTCAAGCCAGCTGGTGGCGGGCGGGTGGGGGAGCTCCAGCCATTCAATGGGATGCTGCCCAGGAAGCTTTCCGTAACCTTCAAAGTCACCTCCATCCCTTGAACAATGAGCGGATATGAGGAAGGTGCTCAGGAAATGAAAACCTTTTGCCTGGTACCCCGGTCCTTTTCAGAGAAAGCACTTTCAAACCCACTCAGTGTTGGAACCAGCATCAGCTTATTGCAGGAAGATACCTTGCCTTTTTCTTCTTGGAAACTCTACAATCTGGGCTTCTCCCCTACAAAGGGGGCATATATGTCATTAATACGCATCCTGTCCTTTCTTCCTAGTTTTTCACCAAAAGCACCATTGTCCCATCGCCCTGGACCGATCCCATCGGGAAACAGGCTTCTCAGCTGAATTCGACCAGGTGTAAGTAGCTGCTTCTGTTCTGGAGGCAGGGAGGTTCGCTTACAAGCCGTGTTGTTCAGGGCTGGGATGCAAATGGTAGAAATGACCTGGATGGCTGGTTTCCGGGATCTCCAACAGCCAGGAAGGAGACTTTAGAATAACTTTATTGTCACTTTGAATCTACACTATACGGCATACATTAAAATGAAATTTCCTTGCATATAGACCAGTGATGCCTAACCTTTTCCGGACTGAGTGCCCAAAGCGTGTGAGCCTGAACCCCCAAAATGCAATGTGTGCGCTGCCCCCACACATGCGTGCATGCCCCCGCATGCGCCCCACCCTGTGCCCGTGTGCATGGTCCCCCCGCATTTACCATGCCCCCCGCACATGCGCAGCAGAGACCAGACAGCCAGCTGGCCAACGGGAGGTGCACGCGCACATGTGTGGCGGAGCTGAACTGAGATGACGGTTCGTGTGCCTACAAAGAGGGCACTGCGTGCCACCTGTGGCACACATGCCGTAGGTTTGCCATTACAGATATAGACTGTTCTATGTGCTTCTGAAGCCATCCTTGCTAAGCTAAAGGAAAAAAAAAAAGTTTTGCGTATTCTAAGAAAAAAGTAGAATTTTCCTCTCGGTTCATAATCCTAAATGCCAACGGGCATTGTTGCTATTGGCTTAGATTGCAATAATTAAAATCGCTTGGTTTGAGCTATTGTTAGTGTACTTATGGAAGGCTTTCCTCCGTGTTGGATGGATGGATGGATCGATTCTACGAGCCGAACCGTTTGCTCAAAGACTGCCAAAATGTGAAGGGGAGGGAGCGTTTCCCCTTATGGCTAAACATCAGCTATGCTTTTTATGCTTTCCTTATTGATATTCCAGCTGTTCACTAAGAACTCCATCCATTGCAGGTGCTGAGCTCAACGATGCTTCGCCAGTCGGCCGAGAAATAGTCGTGCAGCCTGGGAGAAATAATGGTTTGTATGAAAACTTTGGGGGAGAAGAGAGTAAACTCGGTATATGAAGAGATCTGGGGCACCTGCGTGAAAGAGACAAAGCATGCATTTCAGTAGGGTGATGCATGTGCAGATGGCTCTTGACTTTTGACTGATCACTTAGCGATTGTTTAAAATTCCCAATGGACCTCTCTGAGTTACCTACTTGTAACCCAGATGTGAAGTCCTGATGGTTGCCCCCCTTCCCCCCCCCCCCCCCCCCCCCCCTGCAGTCAACATATCCACCCTTCTGGCACTCAGCAACTAGGAGACATGGTCACTTGCAGTGTCCCGTGGTCACCTGACCACGGTTTCAGTTTCAGAAAAAGAAAATGACTGTTTAATAACCGTCATGACTTACCGTACGTTTCGGAGTATAAGACACAATTTCTCCCCCCAAAAGAGAGTGGAAATGTCGGTGCGTCTTACACACCGAATACAGCCATTTTTGGCCTCCTGAAACCCCGCCCCACGTGTCCCGTTTTTGCCCATTTTTCTCAAAAACGGGACACGCAGAGGGTTTGGGAGGCCTGCAGAGTGCTCCTGGGGGCTGGGAAGGGCAAAAACCGGATGGAAGCCAAAACCTTTTCCCCCCCCCCTTGTTGTCCTCTTCGAAATCTTCGTGCGTCTTACAGTGAAAAAAAAATACGGTATGACCAGAATGGGCAGGCTCCATTATGGCCTTAACTCGAGGACAACCTGTCGAGAAGAGGGAAGCTTGCGTTGCTTCATCCTTCTGGCATTGTGGCTAGGAGCAGAAACCTTTGCAGCCCAACATAAGTGGGATTTTGTGGGAGGGCCGTTTTCTGTCTAGTGTTGCAGCCTTGGAATTTTTTTGAGAATTCCCATTCAGGTCTTTATCAGGCTGTCCCTTGCTTAGGGTCTGACAAGCTGAATTCATCCCAGTTTGCAGCCTTGGAAAGATTGCGGTTTGATTGTCATGAGATTTTAACCAGAGAAGGTTTTTAAATGCTTCGATCCTGAGGATGCAACCTTGCTACTCTGTTGTTGTTGTTTTCTTTTCCAGCTGCTTGTCAGACTGTGTTATCTCTACCTGTGGATTTTGATTTGGAAAAGATATTGGGTAGGTAACTTGTAAAATAACTCTGCTGCTCTGTAGGGTCTCTTATAACAGTCTAAACTGGACTGGAGAAAGTTGTCAGGATTACCTCCAAAGGAGGGTGGCATATGATAAAAGGAAAGGATCACAATCTAAGGGAGAGTCCAAGAGATTGTATAAAGACACACAACAACAGGGTGAGGATTTGAGCTGGTGGGTTGGTTTCCGAACATTTCGTTACCAGGTTAGGTTAGTTTATTATATTTATATACCGCCCTTCTCCCGAAGGACTCATGGCAATGAACAGCCATGGTAAAAACAATATACAGCAAAATTTAAAAACTTAATTAAAATAATTCAATCATTGGCCGAATTTAAAACACCAAACTAAAATCATTTTAAAACCCCTATCAGAACCCAATTTAAAATCCTTTATCCCATCAGACCAGCTTGCTGGAATAATAGGGTCTTCAGAGCACGACGAAAGGCGCGGAGGTCGGGGATCCTTCGTATGTCCGGGGGGAGTAACGTCTCCAGTGGAATTTAGGGGATGTCAAGTGTCCATGTTCTTCTGTTTATCCTCATCCTACACCCGAGCCACAGATATTCACCACTGTTGCAAAACACATAACAACTTTGTGTGATTTGTGGCTGCTCTCGTCTCCCTCCTCTCTGCAGTTTTTCTGAGCGATGGAGAAGACGGAAAAATGTGTCCATCCTGGCCCACAAGTTTCAAAATGCCCCTAACCCTTAAAAAGGGGTGCGAATCCAAACGAATTCCTGTGATTTGTGCTCTCTTCTCCTTTGACCTTGTACAAAGCATAAATTGTTAGGTTGGGTTTACCTCGGGGTGGATTTGATTTAAATCAAGTCGATTTAAATCATCAGTAAAAAGGCTTGATTTAAATCATAATTTTTAAAGAGCAACTGTCATCTCTATCCCGCAGCAGCTCCTCCTCTGACCCGCTGTTGACTCACCGACAGACCCATTCACTTTAATGGGACAGCTGGTGATGCGGCAGTGACACAACAAGGTGAGGGATGTGGCAGGCAGCAGGTGAGTGGGTGCCTGCTAACAGGCGCTGCCATGATGGATCTGAAATGACAGGTGCTCTTTCATATTATATTTATAAGCTGCTTAGAAGGTTTCACTTTCATTTTTACTGCTTTCCCTTCCTCCTCACACCTAGATCCTGGTGGCACAGATGCATTTCTCTTCAAACCATCATACAGTTTGTAGTGTACATAGATTTGCAAAACAATGGGATAAAGGAATATTCCTTTTTTCTTTTTTCTTTTTTTTGAAAAAAAGTTTTCTTAGATTAAAATAAAAAAAAATTAAAAAAAACAACATAAAAATATGATCCTTACAAACAATTATAGACAACATCTCGATCGGTTAAAATCATTTCGTGCTTACAATTTTCCAGATTTCATCATATAACAATTATTCTTTACTTAAACTGAAGATAAATATTTAAACATTTCATATATGCTATCTCATCTCCATACTTTTTTGTCAAACCATTGATAAAATAGCTCCCATATCAAATAATATTGCTTATCTTCCTGTTCTCTTATTTCAAATGTCAATCTGGGATAAAGGAATATTCCTGATTATTTAGTTTTATGATTTATCTCATGGTTACTGTGAAATTGTGTGAATGCATCAATGCAGTGCATGTTATCTCAGCTTGCAGAGCTTGGATTCATTGAATGAGTTTACCAAAAATGTAAATATACAGCCTTGTGCTACATAAATAAACTCCATTTTGTGCTGAATAAACCAAATTATTAATATATCTTAAATAGAAAACTATCTTTAGATAGATTTTTACTCCAAGAAGCATTTTATTAAAATAAATTTGATAAAAAAAATTAAAAATCCGATTTAAATAAAAAAATTCAATTTTTTTTCTTTTTTAATTATTGATTTTTAGTCACCTTGGTTTACCTTGGGTGGGAAACAGAGTCTCCCCGATTGTGACAGCCATGCGTGGCATCTCATCTCTTCCTCAGGTGACCATTTCAAAGCCGATGAATCGGCTGACCAGTCCCAGGAAAGCCTGAGCACTTCCTCCTTGAGGAGAAAGCTCTTTTTGGATGAGAACGGCAGCCTCTCCTCCGAGAACCTCTCCCCTTCTCCCGGCCTGCGTAACGGTCCGGCTTCCTTAGGCGTCCTCTGCTCCATCGACCTCTCTCCGGTCCGCTGCAGGAGCCCTCTGAGTTCTTCCAGCTCAGTGAGTAGTGTTGTGATCCGCCAGCAGCCTGTGCAGCTGACAGCAGAGTCGGACAGTGTGGAGGTTGGGGAGGAACATGGGCCAGTCCTGGAGTCTGGAAAAGGCTCGGACGAGGGCTCTGCATCGGAGGCAGAGAGGGGGCCAGGGTCATCTGGTAGTTAATGTGCTGCCTCCAGATCCTCTGGAATCTGACATCAGCGAGGCAGAAGAACGGTGTGAGCCTGTTCCCAGTGCGCGCATGCGCAGAGCTGCCAGAAGGCAAGAACAATTAAGGAAAAAAAGGACGACTCGGGAGTAAGGCTTGGAGTTGATTGGCCCCTCCCTTAAGACACAAAAGAGGAGCAAACGATGTGAGCCTTTGCAGGAAGCAATTAGTTAATATAGTCAAATCAAGCTCTGAGAAGTCCAGTTTGACTCTGTGCTCCGTTTGGCCTTGCAAAACTAATGGGCAATTAGGTCTCTGGCAGCGTTTCAAGGGAGATGAAGGTGGGTGCTTATCAACATTACCCTGAAAGACTGTGTCAACTCAAGCAGACATCTGTCGGAATCTTAATAGACTGTTTGCGAATCCTTACAGGCTGTGAATGACCATAATTCACAGCTGTCTCAATAAAAGAGGTTTTTTTGGGACTAAAATTGTGATTTATGCTTTCTCAGGAAGCCTAGGTCAGAACAAATAGCTCATCCTGGAGATGTTGATGGTGACGGGTCAGGATGAGCCCAGCTGGTTTTTGCACCAAAGACGTCCGTCATGGGAAACTAAATTCCCACTGCTTTCTGCAGATTGGCTTGGCTTTTGTGAGGGGTCTCAAGAGGGACAAATACTGAAAGATGGGACGGTGCCGTTTTCCTTGGCATTGATTTAGATGCTGTCAGTCATCCCACTCAGCCATCTAGCAAAGAGAGCCATTTGTTTTTGCCATGAGTATACTTTACTGAAGCTTAAATGGTTACAGGAGTAGCGTAAGCCGAATTGGAGGTTTTCCCGTCCAAACAATATAAAGTATACTTTGTGAGCCACGGTGGCGCAGTAATTAGAGTGCAGTACTGCAGGTTACTTCTGCTGGCTGCCGGCTGCCTGCAATTTGGCAGTTTGAATCTCACCAGGCTCAAGGGTTGACTTAGCCTTCCATCCTTCCGAGGTGCGTAAAAATGAGGACCCAGATTGTTGGGGGGCAAGATACTGACTCTGTAAAACCGCTTAGAGAGGACTGTAAAGCGGTATATAAGTCTAAGTCAGGGGTGTCGAACTGGATTTCTTCGAGGGCCGGATCACCATTGTAGCTTTCCTCCGTGGGGCGGGGCGGGGAGTGGAGGGGGGAAGCAGGACATATGCCTCCTGCAGCACTTTACCAGCCAAAGTGCCTCCCCCTGGTACCTTGTTTTTGCCCTCTTCGGCCTCCAGCAGCACTCTGCTGGCTAAAAACGAGCCATGTGGAGGCCTCCTGAGGCCCCTCCATGGCCTGTTTTTGCCAGCAGAGGCACCGCAGGCCGATCCTTTGATATTTCCAGTCAGATTTAAGCCCTCTGAGTTTGACACCCCTGGTGTAAGTGCTATTGCTATTATCTGTATCCAGTTATCTTTAAATTAGGTGCTTGTATATTGTTTAGGAAATGGGTTGTTGTCGGCTCTGCATATTGATAGTTGTCCTTGGCTGGGTGAAGCTTTTCCCAAGAGGCAGCTAGGCTTCCATCCCCCCACACCTTTTCTTCTTCCTTGCATTCCAATCCTCCCTTCTCCTCGTTGTTAATGTCAGCTCATGAAGCTTGGGTTAGGATCGATGCAATCATTACAGATGCCTTCTGTGGCTCGTTCTTAATGGGAATCTCTCTTGCCCTCAAAAGGGCCATCTCTCCTCCAGCCCCATCCGGGGGAATGCCAGGGCGTACAGTTTGGGCAGCCTTCCTAGTCCTTCTTTGGCACGCAGGAGTCCGGCAAATCTGGCGTCGCCCACTTTCTCTCCCGTTGGCATCCAGCTAAGAAAGACTCCACTGGCAGGTATGTAGAGGCCTCTTGCTGGAGACCTGAAGGGTCGTCATCCTGGGGATCGGATGGGATTAGTCTGGAGGTTCTTCTTAAATTTTTGGGGTGTACCAAAGTGCCTCCTGCTGCTTTTGTTCCGTGTACTGCTTCCTATTAGCGTATGGCCATTTGATCCATAGGGTGGGGTGCTTTCAATGCAACTGTCAGATTTAATGTCTATGGAGATTCTCAGTCATCCAGTCATGGTTGTCTCAGAGGCGACCGCACAATTTTTCAAGAGGCAACCACACAATGTTTTTTTTTCCCCTTGAAGATGTTTCGCTTCTCACCCAAGAAGCTTCATCGGTTCTAACAGGAACATACACACACACACACACCCTTAGGAAAGTCCAGTTGCCTTTTCGAAAAGCATCTTTGGGACAACCATGACATGGATGATTGAGAATCTCTACAGAAATTCTTCTAATGCTATATTGAAGAGGCATAATAACGGTAGGTGCCACGGAAGATGTTTCTCTTCTCATCCAAGAAGCTTCATCAGTTCTGACTGGATGGCGAGGGGGAAATGGGAGGTTTAGTTCTGTCAGAAACAAACCTTCCATCTACCCGCTCCCCAAACATCCAGTCAGAACTGGATGAAATACAGCATTTGATGTAGCATTAGAAGAATTAACTATGAAGATTCTCAAACCATCCAGGTCAAGGTTGTTGTCAGAATATTCATGAACTGGCAGAGACATGGTAACAAGGTCAGCCAATGAATAGGCATAGCAACTGGATCAGCCAATGAAGAGGCATAGTAACAAGGTCAGCCAATGGGAACTGTTTTGGAAACTGAAACTGGAAGGAGCCTGGGCGTGGCTTAGGTTTAGTTTAACTGCCTTGTATAGAGGAAGTTCTCTTTGCATTAAGCTCTGCTCAGCTCTAAAACAAAACTAGTCTGGTCTTGTCTGCTGCTGGAACTGAAAGCAATCTCTAATGTACAATACGAATCAGCTATTGGTATTGTACATTTACTCATGCGTTATTATGTATATAAAGAAGTTAATGAATCCTGCTGGATCAATTATCTCTGTGTGTGCTTTCTGGAAGTGATTTCTGCAACAAACTGACAGTTGTCTCAAAGACGCTTTTCCAAAAGACTTTGGAAGACTTCCTTGAGGTGGGTTGTTGTTTTTTTTTCTGTTAAGAACTGATGAAGTTTCTTGGATTAGAAGCGAAACGTCTTTTTCCTCAAGGGGAAAAAAACCCCATAGTCTAGTTGCCTCCTTTTTGAAAAAGCACTGTTGAGACTGTCCTCACGCAGGCTCCCTTAAAGGAGCAGTCCCCGTTTCTGACAAAAGGGTCCAGCAGCCTTATCAAAGAGAGGACTGTTGGTTCTGTACGCTTGGCGTATTCTCACTCTGACATTTTCTTCCTTTTTTTCCCCCTCCCCAACAACACAGATCAAAGGCAGTTCACTTTCCGCTCTCCGGATCTTCCTTCCATTTCCAACGCCTGCCGTCAGGCTCCTACCAGCAGGAGTCCCTACATGGAATGCTCTCCGTTAAGGAATCACTCGCCCATGAGGTTTCTCTCCTGCCGGGGGGGCCACCCTGTATCAGAGCTCCTTCCTTCGTCTCCCTTGCACCCCAGAGAACTTCCAGGAAGAGCTGGCGGAGGCAGCCGAGGCCATGTCGGCCGGGAGTCCTAGGGCGGGCCTGACCCCTATAAATGAGGACATCCCGTTAGCAGGGTCCCACTCGGAGATGGCTGCTGGGTCTCTCTCACCGGAGACCCCTGAAGGATTAGCACCACCCAGGCCCTGCTTGGAGTCCCCTGGGGAGAAACGGACAGTGGAAATGGCTGATCCAGAGATGCTGGATGAGAACTCGGTGAAGGGATCGTCTGAATGCGACAGAGGAGCCGTGACCAGACTGAGCATGGAGGGGTCTTGCATCTGCATGGCTCCATTGGCAGAAAGCAGTGCTTCTCCCTGTGAGATCAGCAGTCTGCAGGTGAGGATCAGCCCAGCGCTTAAGGGGCTCTGGCCCTGAACGTCATTTACCCCCCCCTCCCCCCCATTCCAGGCTGAACAAGGGAATTGAGCAGAGCCGGTGGAGGAATAGAAAAGGGTGAAAGCAGGCTGGTTTTGCTCAGGCTAAGTTCTAGGCAGAAAAGAAAGGAAGATTCTCAAAATTTTCCTGCCCAAATCTGTGGCAGTGGTGAAATGTAAAATTTGTTATTACCGGTTCTGTGGGCGTGGCTTGGTGTGTGGGGGGTAATGTGACTGGGTGGGCGTGGCCAACTTTTTTTCTTTTAAAAGCCTTTTTTCTAGTCTCTTCGGCCGAAGAGGTTGTAGAAAAAATGCTTTTAAAAGGCTCTGACGATCCCAGCTGAGCCGCACGATCATCAGAGGGTTTTTTTTTTTACTTTTAAAAGCATTTTTTCTACCTCTTCGGCCAAAAAAATGCTTTTAAAAGTAAAAAAAAAAAACCCCTGATGATCCGGCGGCTCAGCGGGGATGGGGGGGGGGGGGGCAGGATTTTTGCTACCGGTTCTCCGAACCACCTGCCGCTATCGCTACCGGATCGGGTGGTCTGGTCCGAACCGGGAGCATTTCACCCCTGTCCTGCGGTTATGGCATCTTTGTTTCTTTTGTTTATTAAGTTTGGATACCGCCCATGTCTTCCCCATGGGGCGGTGGGGGAGAAGGGGCTTCCACAAGAGGGATAAAATCCCACCTTTTTACAGTCCCACTGCCATTACCCCCAAACGAAAAGCGTTGCTGGTGCCACGGTGGAGGGGAAGATCCCACTTCACAGACATTGCACCATTTCCAGCTGTCGCTTCTTACCAGGTGTACAAAAGGTGTTGGGGAGACATCCTGGCACATACAGGCAGTCCTCGACTTACAACAGTTCATTTAGTGACCTTTCAAAGTTACGACGGCACGAAAGGAAGTGATTTATGACCGTTTTTCACATGGCCATTGTAGCAATACCCCCCCCCCGGGGGGGGTCACGTGATCAAAATTCAGGCGCTTAGCAACTGGCTCGCATTTAGGAGGGTTGCAGTGACCCCAAGATCCCCTTTTGTGACCTCCTTGACAAGCAAAGTCAATGGGGGAGCCAGATTCACTTAGCAACGGTGTTACTAACAAGCACCGTGATTAACTTAACAGCTGTGGCAAGAAAGGTCGCAAAAGGAAGCTCCCTTAACCGTCACTTAGCAACAGAAATTTTGGGCTCAATTGTTATAGCTCAAGGACTGACTATGCTAAATTTAGGCACCTCAAAAGGCTTTAAAAAGGGGGAATTTTTTTCCCCCTGGAATTGTGTTTGCCGGTTAGTCATCACCATCATCTCATTTCATACCAAGAACTGTAGAGTTGGAAGGACCGGAAAGTTCTTCTACAGGTAGTCCTCAAACTTATGACCACAGCGGAGCCCAAAATTTACACTGCTTAAGTGAAACATTTGTTAAGTGGGTTTCGCCCCCATTTCATGACTTTCCTTGCCACAATTGTTAAGTGAACCACTGCAGTTGCTAATTTAGTAGCATGGCTCTTAAGTGAATCTGGCTTCCCTGTTGACTTTGCTTGTTCAGATCATCGCCGAAGGGGATCGATCACATGACCCCCGGGACACTGCAACCGTCCATCAATATGAACCAGTTGCTAAGCGTCTGAATTTTAATCACATGATCGTAGGGATGCCGCAGATTGTTAAGTGTGAAAAACGGTTGTTTTTTTCCCCTTTTTTCAGCACCGTTATAACTTTGAACGGTACTAAACGAACGGATGTAAGTCAAGAACTTGTATTCCAGCCCCTGCTTAGTGCTGGAATCATTCCTTCTACGTTCTGATTTCTTTTGGACAGATGGATAGTGGTTACAATACCCAGGCGTATACCAGCAGCCTCATGGATACAGCTGGAGGCGAGCTCAGCTGCAGAGAGCATGGTGCGTTTGAAGCTCAAAGGAAACCCCACGTTTTCAGAATGAAGGTAGGTGTCTCCAAAAGAAGACAGCATCTTTGGTCTTCTAAGCCCTGGCTTGGGGAAGAAATCTAAGAAGTCCTATGGGAAACCTGTGCAAAGGTTGACATGTCTAATGGCCAATCTTTTGGGTCTTCTTTCCTCCCCAGCAGGGAAAATCAAAAACTGGATACTGGGCTGAAAACGCTTGTCAATCCAGCAGCCTCTTCCTGGAAGTGCCTTTGCAGAAATGATCTGAGCTGGCATAGATCTGCTTCTAACTGGGATTGAGAGAGAGAGAGAGAGAAAGAGACTGAGACCATCCACCAAAGCTGTGAATGCCTATTCTGACAGATACGTTGACGCTGGACTGGTACAACTGCCTTCCTGCGGCTGAAGGGAAATAAAGACGATCCACCTGGCCATAACCACCAAATTGGCACTGGGATGTTGTGGGCTACATTTGTACACTTGGGATTATCACAAGGGCTCAGTTGGGATTGGAACGCTGCTGCTATATGCCTTCGACAAGCATTGATCCTTGATCTACCCAAGTACAGCCAGTTATGGGCTCACTTCATCAGGCAGGGGCTTCCTTGCGTGAGCATTGCCCACATGCAAAATATAAATGCCCTGGTCTTAAACTTAAATTGAAGTTAACTGTTTGGGATCAGGCATCGCCAACACGCCAAATGGTGTGGCAGAGCAATAGGTGTGTTACCTTGTTTTCTGTGAAAATGAATAGCATTTGTTTAAAAGAAATCTCTTTCGCGCCTTGATTATGCTGATCGTATCGGAGCCCGATGAATTTTTAATAAAGTAGTTGTGCTTTTTCCCCCCGTTTATCAAAGTTTTATTACCAATGCAAAACAAGAACGACGTTGGTTTCAACAGGAGGCTAGAAATACATTTTGCACAAAAAAGTCAATGTTCTACAAAACTTCTGTTTTGTTTTGTTTTGTTTTAAATACTGGACTGGAATTATGTTTCATCATTAAAAAAAAACTATACGTTTAAGATAACCATGGTTTCCCAGCCTAATTTGTTATACTCTGAAAAGCCCATGTTAGTAGCTTAGAGTGCTTTTGTCCTTTTTTTTTTTGTTTGTTTGTTTTTTAACAAGTACTGTAGTTCTGCACAGTAAGGAAACACCACCTCTCCTTTCCTATTAAAATGGCCATCTTAGGTTGGCTAATGCCAAGATAAAAGCCAGAGAATGGCTCAACTTCATATATTTTTTTAACCTTTACAGGAACTACTGAACGCATGTACAAAATCCTAAATCTCAATGTCTTGTGTTTAAAAAATTGCTGTAACGTTATATTTTGCTGTCCCAAAGGTGCAAAGGTCAAATGGCAACTGAACTGTATGGTTGTTCTCTGAAGACGTTTCGCTTCTCATCCAAGAAGCTTCTTCAATTGAGTTGAGAAGCGAAACATCTTCAAAGAAAAACCAAGATGCTTTTGGAAAAAGCATCTTTGGGACAACCATGACCTGGATGATTGAGAATCTACATAGACAAGTTATCTTTTGCTATATTTCAGCCTTGCTATGGAAAAGCTCAGCATGGCCAGGTTGCTGGGACTCTCAGTAATAGAGAAGGCACTTTCCCCATTTAACTTCACTTTAACTTTTCTTCCTTGGCTGTTTAATCCATCCCACCTAATTAGCTGGGAACTGGATTTTCTTTACAGCGCTCATTAAGTAAGTTAATTAAGTAACTGGGGATTGGTAATTTTATCTGTAACAAGAGAGATGCAGATTAGAAAACTTGAAGCGCAAATTGTGAATCGGAAGCTTACAACTTTAACTGTCAATCCTTTGGGGATTATGCTCCCTTCTAATTCATTTCCTCCTGCTCCGCTTGTTTTCTTCTAGAAAATGGAAGCAGGTGCTCTTCTTAAAATAGCTTTATCTGGCAGTAGCATCATATCACAAATACTTCAATCGTTATCAAGTATCTCCATACCATGGGGTGGGGGTGGGGAAAGACCCTCATTGGAGCCTGGAAACTGAACATTAACATGGGTATTTCCTGGCAGCTCTCTGCTTTTGATCTGTGATAAGTATTATTTTTTTTTTTTACAAAGATAGACCAAGGGACTGAAAAATAGTTTAAAAGATTTTAGAAACTAGCTTTGTTTTGCTGACGAATTAAAAGGTGCATCCAAATGAAAAGGCTGGAATGCAGTCCTAAATTGACAAAACCTCTGTATTTACTTTCTTTTATCACGGAAATTTTAAAATATCGTGTTGTTTCCTGCTTCTGGAGAAAGATCCAGAAGTTCAGTTTTGGTTAGATTCTTTTAATAAGCCATATGAACAGGAGTACACAATTGTATTATTTATCAGGGATGGTTTTAAAACTGGACAAATGTTAAATTTCTTTAAAAGTCTTTTCTACAAGTATAAAAAAGATCCTTTCCCTCCCCCCCAAATATAATTTATCTCCAAACCAAATAACATTCATTCATTTCTAAAATGAAGTTACTTTTTCACTTTCTTCTTTTTCATTTCTGGTTCTTCATTACCACTTGATTGTGTAGCATCGCTGGAATAGCCTAATATCTGAAAAATAAGAAAATGGTGTTAGACGCAACTTAAGGAAACGATAAAGTTACTTGGTTTTTAATAGAATAGAATTCTTTATTGGCCACGTGCGATTGGACATACAAGGAATTTGTCTCCGGTGCATAAGCTCTCACGGGGCATACAAGCAACAAAGTGGTAAATCATGATCACAATCATTGTAAAATACATTCATCATAAATCATAAGATACAACACTTAGTGATAGTCATAGGATACTAAACAAGCAATCAACATAAATCATCCTAGGATACTAAATAAAACAATATACCGTATTTTTCGGAGTATAAGATGCAGCTTAGTTTTTGGAAAGGAAAATAGGGGAAAAAATCTGCCTACCAGGTATTCCTCTGGCTAGCGTCCTTAGTCTGGTCAGCTTCAGCACATTAATTTGCTGTTTTTTACCTCCTGCTTGGGGATAAAAAACAGCTTCTAAAGCACAGCTGATCTTTGGAGAGAAAAGCAGGCAAACCATGGAGATCGCAAGCGCCTCAGTAGGGCTGAAAAAAAAACTTCACAGCTGAGAGTCGGAGGGAGCAGGCAAAGCATAGATTGCTTCACTCGCTAGCGCCTCGTTAGGTCTGGAAAAAAGCTTCGAAAAAGCTACATTCAGAGTATAAGACGCACCCAAATTTTCAGCCTCTAAGGGGAAAAAGTGCGTCTTATACTCCAAAAAATACGGTAAATTGTCAGATATAAACTACGGTATAGTCATAAGAAGATAAGGAAACAGGTAATACGAAAGATGAGAAGGATAATAGCTTTCCACAATATGGTGGGAATTCGTTGTTTAGCAGTGATGGCATGGGGAAAAATTTGTCAGTGTATCTACTTTTGGCACGCAATGCCCTATAGGTTGTCTTGAGGGAAGAAGTTGAAAAAAGTTTATGTCCAGGATATAAGGGGTCCGTACATAAAACTAGCTTATTAATAAATAATAATTAAAACTGAACCATGGTGGCGCAGTGGTTAGAATGCAGTATTGCAAGCAAACTGCCCAAAAGTATGAAGGCTATTGCTTAACGCATTGTAAGCCGCCCTGAGTCTCCGGAGAAGGGCGGCGTATAAATCAAATTAAAAAAAAAAAAAGAATAATAACTGAAAGCTTACTATGGTTGGCAGAATGCCCAGAAGCAATTTGCAGGAAGCTGATCAGATAAACAAGACAAGACACGAAGGTATGTGAACTAAGTTGTTCCCTGCAAATTGCTTCAGTCAGTGTTCCTCCTTAAATAGGCTAAGGGAGTGGCCAATTAGCCCCAAGCCTTACTCTTGAAGAGACATCCTCCTGAGGAGCCACTCCTGCCTTATGGCACCTCTGCGCGCCTGTGCATCGAGAAGAGGCTCCTCCTCTTCGTCCTCTTCACTTAAGGGAACTGGAGGCCCTGGCTGAATCCCTGCCTCTAGCACCACATCTTCTCCAGCCTCCTCATTGTCTGACTTGAGTGCCAGCTGCACAGGCTGCTGGCGCAGCAACACACCAGCCTCCTCGCTGTCTGAATCAGCTACTAGCTGCACAGGCCGTGTACGGGCCACTAGAGTATATAAGCCTAAATCCTATTGCTATTATCGGCCAAAGTTTTAAAATCTACAGCCTCCGTCTGTAAGCAAAAGCAGCCTTTAAAATCTCAATTCAAAGTCATGGCCTCCCTCCAAAATCGTTCCAGTATTCCTTTTCAGGACATTTTGGGGTCTTCCCTGTCTGGTAGGAGTTTGCTATAAGGTCCATAAAGAGACCAAGGGCTGCTTCAGGTGTTTCTCCACAATCATCTTCTATGTCATCAGGAACCTACCTTGGGCTCCACCAGCGTCATCCGGATTTTCTGATGCTGAACGTTGGAAGAATCCAGCACGATTCTGACTTTAACCTTGTCAAAGGTGCAGAAAGTTGTGCCTTCCACCGTGAGAGAAGGAATCTACGGAAAAGAACGTATTTCGTTATTTTCAGTTTAGGAAGCACTGCAGCTGGTCCTTGTCTTCCAACAACCGAGCCCAACATTTTTGTTGGTAACCCAGACAGTTGTTGAGTTTTGTTCCCGTTTTATGACCTTTCTTGCCACAGTTGTTAAGTGAATCAGTACGGTTGTTCAGTTAGTAACATGGTTGTAAAAGGAATCAGGTTTCCCCATTGACTTTGCTTATCAAGAGGTTGCAAAAAGGGATCACATGACCCCAGGTCACTGCAAGCGTCATCAATATAAACCAATTGCCAAGTGTCCAAATTTTGGTCATATGATCACAGGGATGGCTGCAATCTCACTTTTTTCAATGCCCTTGTAACTTCAGTCACCAAACAAAAAGTTATAAATCAAAGATTAGATTACAGATTAACAGACCTGGAAGGAACATTGTAGGTCATCTAGTCCAACCACGCCCGCCCAAGCAGACCCTACACCATTTTTGACAGATGGTGACAGTCCATTCTCTTCTTGAAAGCTTCCAGTGATGAAGCACCCACGACTTCTGAAGGCAAAGCTGTTCCATAGGTTGATTGTTCTCACTGCCGGAAAATTTCTCCTTATTTCCAAGTTGAATCTCTTCTTGATCAGTTTCCATCCATTATTCCTTGTCTGGCCTTCAGGTGCCTTGGAAAATAGCTTGACCCCCTCCTCTCTATATTTGAGGCAGCCCCTCAAATATCGGAACACTGCTATCGTGTCTTCTCTTCACTTTACCTGTACTTAATTGTCATAGAGCCCTTTGCCATCCTATATTATGCGTTTAAGAAAAAAGTAAGTTTTTTTCTTTGCAGAAGACAGCTGTTACCTCATCGTTGAAGACAAGTCTTTCATTTGTCTTGGCCTTTTCTTCAAAGAAAACCGTGCCTTCTAAACCGTATTTGGGAATTAGAACCACAATGGCATTCTTCCTGACAAACAGGATGTAGGCCTCTTCACTGACCTCACCCTTGTTTTTGAAAAACAACTGGAGGGAAAAGAAAACGGAAACTGTTAATTGCACAAGCCTTGTTGACAATGTCAAAAATAATAATAATAATAATAAAACCCTCCCTTCATAAAATCACCCCTGTATAATACACATCCAGTTCTGGTCCAAACCAGGGGTGAAATGCTCCCGGTTCGGACTGGATCGCCCGATCCAGTAGCGATGGAGGCAGGTAGTTCGGAGAACCGGTAGCAAAAATCCCTGCCCCCCCCCTCCATGCCCAGCTGAGCCGCACAATCATGAGGCTTTTTTTTTACTTTTAAAAGCATTTTTTTCTACAACCTCTTCGGCCGAAAAAATACTTTTAAAAGTAAAAAAAAAAAAGCCTCTGATGATCGTGCAGCTCAGCTGGGATCGTCAGCCTTTTGAAAGCATTTTTTTACAACGTCTTTGCCAAAGAGGTTGTAGAAAAAATGGTTTTAAAAGTAAAAAAAAAAAAAATTGGCCACGCCCACCCAATCTCATTACCCCCTCCCACCAAGCCACGCCCACAGAACTGGTAGTAACAAATTTTAGATTTCACCACTGGTCCAAACCCTTGAAAATGTTGAATTTACATCTCCAAACCACTTGAAGTTGTGCTGACAACTTAATGTGAAGAAGTGCACACAAAGGCATTGTGCAAGACCACAACTCTTGAGTCTCCCTCGGGCCTCCGGGATTCCGATTCTAACATTCCATTTTTCCTAAACATTCCGGGAGCTGAGAACAGCTGCTCACCTGGGTGTGGAAAGCAATGGAAGCCCTCTGAGCGTACTGAGCCATTTTGTGCCGAAAATTGAGATTTTTGCACAAATCTGCCAATTTATGTTTGTCGGTGAGGTCAGGGTAAGTACTGTCCACCCCGATAGCGACCGCCAGGAGTCGATGTACTATAATATCAGCGTATCTGCAATGAGATAAATGAAAATTTTTTACTGAGAATAACCCACAAATATTGTTTTAGGATTTATCACCCCCAAATCAAAAAGAGGTTTTACAACAAGGATTTTCCACAGCTTGTCAACCCTGAAGCTGACCTGACCGAAGCCATCTTGGAGCTTCAGAGTTGCCATACTAGAGCTGAGGGATAGGGAGGGAGGTTTGAGATACCGTATTTTTTGGAGTATAAGACACACTTTCCCCCCACCCCCAAAAAGAGGGTGAAAATCTGGGTGTGTCTTATACTCCGAATGTAACCCCGCCCAGCCTCTCAAACACAGGTTTCAGAGGCTGAAAGAAGCCTCTGAAAGAAGCTTCAGAAAAAAAGCTTCTGAAAGAAGCTTCAGAAAAAAAGCCTCCAAGCAGAGCTTCAGAAAAAAAAAAGCCTTTTTTTCTGAAGCTGTTTCAGAGGCTTTCAGAGGAAGAAAAAAAAGTTTTTTCTGAAACAGAGTTACAGAAGTTTCAGAGGTAGAAGAAAAAAAGCAAGGCAGAGTTCGCAACCAACAAACCTCTTGTTAAAATTCACCTTTGGGAACAGCTGATTGGGGGTATTCTGGGAGGCAGATCCACCCACCAATCAGCTTTTTTCTTATTTTCCTCCCCAAAAACTAAGCTGCGTCTTATACTCCGAAAAATATTGTGGCCTTTGGTAAGGTAACGGAGAGAGATAGACGGCTAAGAAGCATGGAATATAACTAACTAAATAAAATTACTATCAATCAGGCACCACAAATCCATATAACGGCCTCACTTGGGATTTGCTCTGAGGAAAGCCCACAAGCAGCCTTACCTTCTGATTGGAGAGGTGAAGTGCGTATATATGGGCGACGCTAAACCATAATGGTGAAAGTCACTGTCCATGCCGGAGCAAAAGTACACGGCTTGCATCATGCAGCGGGTGGCTAAGATGCGTAAGAGGGTATTCAGGTAGGGGAAAGAAGGAGACTCGGCTTTGTCAAGGGAGTCGGCCAGGGATTTTGCACAATCGGTCTTGATTTCCAAACCCTACGGCGGAAAAACACCAAATGGATTTGAGTGTAATTTGATTAGCCCAAGGTGGAGTGGTGCAGTGGCCTAGAGGTGGAGCTCTCGCCTCACAATCAGGAGGCTGTGGGTTCGATCCTAGGTAGCGGCAGATATTTCTCTCTCTGTCCACAAAGAGATATTATCTGGTGAGAATTCCGCATTGGCAACAGGAAGGGCATCCGGCCAGTAAACACTCAGCTTCATTCAGTTGTCCTAACACCATTCCGATGCAAGGAATTACAAAGTCATTAAAAGAGAAATAAAAAAATAGGCCATATCAAAGGGCAGAGTTCTAAACACATTATTACTGAAATCCTATAAAAACTATTTAAAATGAAATTGGAATACAATGCAAAAATACAAAAAGGGGTTTCACTGTATTTTGTATAAGTATCACAAATATTGATGGTGTAATCCAGCAACAAGAGACTCGGTTCCTGGCACCCATCGGAGAAAGGCAGCTGTGCCAAGGAAGGTTATGAAACCCAGCTCCCTTCAAGGCAACAGGCGTCTAATGAACTAGAGCTGTGGTAGTGCAATGGTTAGAATGCAGTATCGCAGGCTAACTCTGCCAACTGCCAGCAGTTCGATCCTGGCCGGCTCAAAGTTGACTCAGCCCTTCATCCTTCCCAGGTCGGTAAAACGAGGAGCCAGATTGTTTGGGGGCAATATGCTGACTCTGTAAACTGCTTAGAGAGGGCTGTAAAGCATTGTGAAGAGGTATATAAATCTAAGTGCTATTGCTAGAGAGAATTTACTAATTCCCAACAACACTGTCAAACTATTTAGTAAGGCTGTATTACTATTACTCTTCTCATCTTTCCTATTACCTATCTCCTTTTCTACTTATGACTATAACTTTGTTGCTTGTATCTTTACAATTTATACTTTTACTTAGTTTCCTAGTATGATTTATGTTGATTGCTTATTTAGTATCCTATGACTATGTTGTATCTTATGATTTATTATGAATATATTTTTATGACGATTATGGTCATGATTTATCACTTATAGCTTTTATGTACACTGAAAGCTTATGCCACCGAAGACAAATTCCTCGTGTGTCCAATCACATTTAGCCAATAAAGAATCCAATCCAATCCTATCCTATCCTACTATACCCTACCCTATTCCATATTTTCTATTCTATTCTATTCTATTCTATTCTATTCTATTCTATTCTATTCTATTCTATTCTATTCTATTCTAATTCTAATTCTAATTCTAATTCTACTCTACTCTACTCTACCCTACCCTACCCTACCCTACCCTACCCTAACTTTGCCGCACCTCCTCTAAAACTACTTCAAAGTAAGAGAGAAACTTCAATTGGTGCAACATTTCCTGAGCCCCTTTTACGGGCAGGAAAGGCCAGCAAGAATTCAGGGAATCCCATTCACATATGCGGAGCCTTTCATGTCTTTGTCCCACCACCAGCAGAAGACTTTCTGGAATGCCTTGCCTTAGACTTTGCAGCCTTCACCAGGATGTCGTAATTGGAGGGTGGGGGAGCCGGATGCTTCCTCAGCAAGGCGTGCTCTGAAAATTCCTGGTTGATCTTTTGGGCAACGGAGATGTTAGCCAGCAGCATAAACTCTTCCACCATGGAGTTGGTCTCTCTGCAGAAAGGGAAACGGGGGCTCATAAAACTCCCAAGAAAACAGCCAGCCTTGAGCTGATGCGTTTGTTTCCCCTAAGGGACAAGAACTAAGAGGAGGAACGGAGAATCAGGAACACCGTGGCCCTGTAAGTGGACACCATTTCTTTTATGCACTCTGGACAATACAAACCAGCAAGGGCTGCCCAGATCCAATCCGTGGCACTCATTCCTCCTTTCCCAGAACCTCAAAGGCCATGCCTATCTCAGAATGCCACCCATAAGCACCTGGGCCTTCTGGTTATCCAGTCCTGGTGTGAAGCAGCCTCACATGTTTGTTAATTGTTTAGGAACTCATCCTGTTTGGGAAAGACAAACTCCTGACCCTCCAAAACTTTTCAGATTGCCCTGTTCATCGGCAGGGCAGGAAAACAGCAAAAACCAGTGACGAATGGCTGAAATTAGGAACTTCATCGAGGCTCCCATTCAAAAGCTTTTCCAGCCAACTTATGTCTTATGTCAACTGTCTTAGGTTCAAGGATATCCACGAAGGTTGTATGGCTGTAGAATTACAGTAGAATTCTCTACTACCTCCTCTTACCGGTATCGTTATTATGATTATTAATACTCTGTCTCTTTGCATGTACACTGAGACAGTGGTGGAATTCAATTTTTTTTACTACTGTTCTGTGGGCGGTAGCTTGGTGGGCGTGGCAGGGGAAGGATACTGTAAAATCTCCATTCCCACCCCACTCCAGGGGAAGGATACTGCAAAATCCCCATTCCCTTCCCACTCTAGGGGAAGGATACTGCAAAATCTCCATTCCCACCCCACTCCAGGGGAAGGATACTGCAAAATCTCCATTCCCACCCCACTCTGTGATCAGCCAGAGGTGGTATTTGCTGGTTCTCCGAACTACTCAAAATTTCCGCTACCGGTTCTCCAGGTAACCTATAAGAACCTGCGGAATAGTACCCCTGCACTGAGAGCTTCTGCAACGGAGACACATTCCTTGTGTGTCTAATCACACTTGGCCAAATAAACTATTCTTCTCTCCTCTCCTCTCCCCTGTATTCTACTCTCTGACTCGACTCGACTAAACTCTACTCTTCCCTACTCTACCCTTCTATTTCATTTCATTCTATTGTATTCTAAACTTACGGCTTCTTCCAATGATGTCAATACCAAAACAGCACAAGGGTTACTACGAGAATTATAAAACTGCTCCTTGGACAATAATTAAACATGCAATATTCATTGCTTTGTCGTGGATACCCTTCCTCTTTCGATCTTGAATAAGTCTGTCCCAATGGCTGGGCTCACATGTCCTACAAAGCTACAATTGGGTTAAAATTCACAAAGACCTGGTCCACATCTAACATTAAACTGTGTTTATTATGTCTTCAGCATACCAGGGCCATCCTGAACCTCATTAGGAAACGGCATCCTAAAGGTTTATGAGGAAGGAACTGTTGTGACTTAGGCTCACTTAGTCATTGCAGGACACAATTAGTCCGAAATAAAGCTATTTTATTATAACAGCTGAGAATTACTTCATTCCCAGCTTAGTCCAAATTAATTCCAAAACAAGTCCTTCAGAAAAAGTCCTTTGGGCTCATCACAAACCTTTATCTTCTTTGGCACCCTGCCAAAGGCCTTCTTGGCAAAGCTCCACGAAGTTCAGAAACAAGAGACGCTGACTGGAAACAGATTTAGCAACGTTGCTTTCCTATGAAGAGCCCAAGAGCCTTTGCTGCTCTTTTAAGCCTTATGAGAGGGACCAATCATCTCCTGGCCTTACTCCCGAGTTGTCCCTTTTGCTTTAGCTGCTCTTGCTTTCTGGCAGCTCTGCGCATGCGTGCATTAGGAACAGGCTCCTCCTGTTCCTCTGCCTCTCTACTGTCCGCCTCTGGAGGCTCCAGAGTCCGGTCATCACTCCCAGATGGCCCTGGCCCCATCTCTGCCTCCAACACAGAGCCCTCGTCCGGGCCTTCCCCAGACTCCAGGACTGGCCCATGGTCCTCCCCAGCCTCCTCACTGTCCGACTCCGCTGCCAGCTCCACAGGCTGCTGGTGGACCACACAGGGAACCTTTGGACCCGACAGATTGATTTCCCGCCTCCCCCAAAAGAAAAAGCATGCACTCACTTGAGTTCCTTCGTCTGCAAATCAATTGGATCGTGGGTTTCGCTATCGATGTGGAATCGAACCTCGGGTGAAGAAAGAGTTAAAGCCCTAAAAACAAGATTAACAAAGCAAACATTTTACACAAAAATAGATACAGAACTTTACCGTTGTTGTGAAATGACTCCACCACCCAATTCTGTAGGATCTGTTTTAAGAAACAAAGGCCATTCCGACAGCCCTCCTGGCTTCAGAGACCTGAATTGACATGAATTCATTCACAAGTGACCCTCTAACTTGCCAGGCATGTTTGTGGCCAAACCCCGAGATCAGCAAAAGGCTGGAACAGATTCTAGAGAGGAGCTCTTGGTTGGCTTCTTCATCCTTTTCAGAGATCCCCTTAAGGCCAGACTTTGGCGTCATACATCAAATACGTGTTTCTCTTTTCAATTGTGCCTCCCGGGACATCATCAGTGGCTTGGCCCAGGATGCTTCTCAAGAGAAATGAACTTATTTCCACTGCTTTGATCACATTAGAAATGCCCAAAGGGAGCTCTCAGGAAATTAAGCCCTGCATCTGAAAAGCTTCCTTTCCTTTCCTTTCCTTTCCTTTCCTTTCCTTTCCTTTCCTTTCCTTTCCTTTCCTTTCCTTTCCTTTCCTCTCTCCTCCCTACTCCCTTCTCTTTTTCCTTCTTTCCTTTCCTTTCCTTTCCTTTCCCCTTTCCTTCCTTTCCCTTTCCTTTCCTTCCCTTCCCTTTCCTTTCCCATCACATCTTTCTTTTCCTTTCCTTTCCCTTCCTTTCTTTTCCTTCCCCTTCCCTCCTTTCTTTTTTGTTAGAGTGTGCACAGCATGACTGCTAGTTTTTGAGACAACCCAGGAGCAAAATACAGTACACAGAAGTTTTTCAAACAGTGGTTTATCTACAAGTTATATATATATACTGTATATATATATATACATACACATGCTAGGCAAGGCCAGGCAACCAATCAATCTTCAATACATGGGAGGAGAACATGAGAGAGAGAGAGACGCCCTCTAATGGCCTCCTTTATATAGGCAGCTTCTTAAAGGGCAATAATCCTGCTGACTCATCCTCAGTCTTAAAAGGGCTGGTCAGCTTTAAATCATCAATCCCTTAACATTTTTCCTTTCCCCTTCCCTTCCGTTCTCTTCTGCTGCCAAATGCCAGCCAGGTCCCGAAGACTGCAACGAGTCAAGAAAGAAAAACTGTTCCGTGTTACATGCAGCCTGGACCCCTTACCCTTTTTCTCGCCGACGTTTCTTAAGGATTTTAGCCAACCTGTTCAGCCCACGGAGGCTCATGGTAATGTCATCCTTCAACGTGGCAGAGTCTATTTTCATCTGGGCCTCCGCATAGGTAAGCGAAGCCTTCAAAGTACAAACAAAGGAAAACAAGGAATGTGAGGGGGGGGGAAGGAGGAGAATCTCTAAAGCAAATTGATTTAAATGTGAAAAAAATCAAACATGAGATTTCTGATATCGGCTTGCGACCTCATAGCCCAAGGCTGCTGAATGTGTGACTGGAGAAAACAAAACAAAACCATTTCTTTTTATTTTATTTTCATTCTGCCCCTCAATTTTTATGGTAGTGTCAGGGGTGAAATCCAAAATTTTCCCCTACTGGTTCTGTGGGCGTGGCTTGGTGGGCGTGGTAGGGGAAGGATACTGCAAAATCTCCATTCCCACCCCACTCCAGGGGAAGGATACTGCAAACTCTCCATTCCCTCCCCTTCTGGGGTAAGGATATTGCAAAATCTCCATTTCCACCCCACTCTGGGGCCAGCCAGAGGTGGTATTTGCCAGTTCTCCAAACTACTCAAAATTTCCGCTACCAGTTCTCCAGAACCTGTTAGAACCTGCTGAATTTCACCCCTGGATAGTGTATGTTATTTCTGTTACACAAATAGATGTTGCTTTCTTGTCCACCAAAATAACCATCTTATCTATGGAACAGAAATTTACTGCTTTGTTTTTGTAAAAGCAAATTAAAAAGGGTTGACTTTTAAAGAGCAGCGCACAGAAGAAATAACAAAACTTCTTGTCTGGGTCGGTTCCATAGTTTAATGTTTTCCTCAAGTAAATCATTTCTATTTGTGAAGAGTATTTTCAGGGTTTGCAATCTAGATTTGAATGCAGAACATTCAGTATTTCTACTTTTTTTTTTTTTTTTTTGTATCCACTTTAATGAATACAAGCTCCTTTCAGAGTTAATCAGAATCCAAAATCAATTATCTCAGCATCGGATTTTCTAAACGGCCCAAATACTTTTAAACCCTACCTTGGAATTAATGACACTTTTTGTAAATCTAGTCGCCAGGATTTCAGCATTCTGATTCATTTCCCAAATACACGAAAAGGCAAACCTAAGGAAAGGAAGAGAGTTACTGACAGAAAAGGAAAGCACACCACAAAGTGTTCACCAGTCAGCCAAGGTCCCCTTCCCTCATTATATTTCAATGTGCCTTACTTTAACCTCCATCCATCTCTACCTACTACAGTGCCTTCTAACCCCCAAGGACTGGCTCTGAGGGGCTTGAGCCTGGACTTCTGGGGGGAAAGCAGCCACTGGGACTGGCCTACGCTGTTTACGAAGCTGCTTCGAGCCATGGTGGCACAGTGGTTAAAATGCAGTACTACAAGCTACTTTTGTTGACTGCCGGCTGCCTGCAGTTTGCCAGTTCGAATCTCACGGGCTCAAGGTTGACTCGGCCTTCCATCCTTCCGAGGTCAGTAAAATGAGAACCCAGATTGTTGGGGGCAAATATGCTGACTCTGCAAACCGCTTAGAGAGGGCTATAAAACACTATGAGGAGGTATAGACGTCTAAGCGCTATTGCTATTGCTTCCAATCCACAAAAAGTGTGGGATAATCAACAGCTCTTAACAATTACCTGTCCACATTGGATCTCAGCGAACATAAATTGGAACTCAGCAGGTCGGGAACCATATCAATTCTCTGCAAGAAACAGAAATGGCATTGTGGACTCTGAACACTTCCAAAGTAAGCTGATCAAGATGGTCAAAGCAAGCATAAAAGATTCGCCAGGCTTTAAATGTAGATCTTTTCCCACACGTTCAAACCACAGAAGCACACAAGGACAATAGAAGCTTTGCGTCCCAGCTTACTCAGGGAGGTGGGGCAGGAGTGTCACACTGTCAGCAAAAGAAGGAAAGAACTCTCCAAAATTTACCTTTTCACACAGATACACTGTGGTGCCCCTTTTGGCTGATTCTTCGTCTAGAGCATTTCCTGGTCGGATGAAGTGGCTGACGTCTGCAATGTGCACCCCAACCTAGAGAGAGAGAGAGAGAGAGAGAGAAGAGATTCTTTAGCATTTAGGAAATTTTGCACCTGTTCCTGAATTTCTGACTTGTCTCAAGAGCATCGTGTGAAGTTAGCTTCCTCTGTTATCTTTTCCAACAGGCCTGGTGGTGCAGTGGTTAGAATGCAGAATTGCAGACTGACTCTGCAAACTGCCAGGAGTTCGACCCTAACCAGCTCAAGGTTGACTCAGCTTTCTATCCTTCCGAGGACATTAAAATGAGGATTCAGATGGTTGGGGGAAATATGCTGATGTTGTAAACCGCCCGGATATTTATGGAGAATGCTGTAAAGCAGGGGTCCCCGATCCCCGGGCAAGGGACTGGCACTGGGGCTGCAAACTGCCAGGAAACGGGCCACACAAGCAAGTGAAGCAGTGTGTGAAACCACACACCCCTGGTCTGCAGAAAAACCACTCCTCCCGGAACCGAGCTGCGGCGCCCAAAAGGTTGGGGGCCATGACTGTAAAACACTATGCAGTGGTACATAAGTCTAAATGCTATTGTTATTCCTTCTGGGCCTATCCCATTTTCTACCCTTGATGTTTTTGCTTCTTCACTGCAGGCAGAAATCAGGATGCTCAAGAAGAGGGCCATAAAACGATGCAAAGGCACACACCGGCATTTCAAAGACCTGTGAAAACACTTGCCTCCAAGTTTCCATTTTCCAGTTCCCTGCAGTGCAACGCATCATCGATATCGGTACACCCAGGAGGATCCACGCTGCACACACACAGTTGCCTCAAGTCCTCTCTCTGCTTCATATCCTGAAATTTCATTTTCAACCAAAAAAGAAAAAAGAAAGAAACTCATGTCATGGGCGAAAGTCCTATGAAAAACCACCAAGGCTTGCTAACACAGATTAGGTTCCACTGAATGCTGCTTCTGTCTCCCTTAAACCAATAGACTAATTTTGTGGCACCTTAAAAGTCTAGCAAAGTCATTCTCATATACAGGCAGTCCTCGACCTATGACCACAACTGAGCCACAATTTCTGTGGCTAAGCGGAACCTTCGTTCAGTGAATTTGGACTCATTTTTACGACGTTTCTTGCCACGGTTGCTAAATGAATCGCTGCAGTTAGTTAATGACATGGTTGCGAAGTGAATCTGCCTTCCCCCGTGACTTTGCTTGTCAGCAGGTCACAAAAGGGGATTGCGTGTCCCTGGGACACCGTGGCCGTCATAAATACGATACCAGTTGTCCAGCTGGCTCTGAATTTTGATCATGTGACCATGGGGGTGCTGCAGTGGTCGTTAAGCCTGAAAAAAAAATGGTCATAACTCACTTTTTTTAGTGACGTTGTAACTTCAAACCGTCACTAAACGAACTATGGTAAATTGAGGACTACCTCAATATAGATTAGATTCTGTTGAATGCCAGTTCTGTCTCCCTAAAACCGACAGAATAATTTTATGGCAAAATTCTTTCAGGGGCTTAGAGAAAATTAAAGTAGTTACGTAAACCATATGCAAAGAGAAAAATGCAACTTAAATGAACAATTACTATGGAAAAGAACAAAGACAAGATTAAATTAAAAGGATACCCCCCCCCTCAAAAGATCTTAAGTTAACATGCTGTTCTGCAATTACAACACACAACAACTGCCAACTCTAAGAGGGAGATGCTAAACCAGTGATGGCTAATCTTTTTGCTGTCGCGTGCCAAAAATGGGGGGGAGCACGGGGAGTCAAGCGTGTGCGTGCCCACACCCATAATTCAATGCACCCCACCCCCCATGCATGCACACATGACCCCCCCCCATGCTCCCCATGCTTTTGGCACGCAATGGCACAGTGGGCCCGGTAGGCCCGTTTTTTGCCCTCCCCAGGCTCCAGAGGCTTTCTAGGAGCCTGTGGAGGACAAAACTGGTCTTCCTCACCCCCCCTGGAAGCCGGAAATGGCTCATTTGCCAACTTCTGGTGGGACCGGAAGGCCCGTTTTTTGCTCTCCCCAGGCTCCAGAGGCTTTCTAGAAGCCTGGGAACAACGAAAACAGCCTTCCTCACTCCCCCGGAAGACGTCCCGAGGCCAGAAACAGCCGGTTTCCTGACTTCCGGTGGCCCCAACAGGCCTGAAAATCAGCTGGCCGGTGCACGCATGCCCGCTGGAGCTGAGCTAGGGCAACGCTCGTGTGCCCAGATATGGCTCCACGTGCCACCTGTGGCATGCGTGCCATAGGTTCGCCATCACGGTGCTAAGCAGACCTAAATTTCATACTATCAGCAGAAGACATATAAACTAAAAATCAATGGCAATGAATGATGAATTTTACTTTATTCTGCATGATGCTGGAAGAAAAACTATATCTAAATGCGGGAAATCTTTGGACCAAGGCAGAAAATAAAACACATTTCTTCATTCCTATACAGTAGTGGCCAAAATTGTGGAAACCTTTCGCTAAAAGTGTATTTTTGAGGTTTGATGGCTAATAACACCACTTTTTTTTGGAGTTTCAAGATAATCCTATTCCACTGCTGGAATAGCCTGGGAATAGCCCAGACTTTCTTAACCCAATTGAAAATCCATGGAGCTGAATAAAGAAACTTGTTAGTCAGAAGCGACCCAGCAATAAAACCCACTTAATAGAAGCAATCATTCAATCTTGGTTTCACATTAGAACAGCTGCAGAAATAAAAGACTTGGTTCACTCCATGGGAAGACGTGGTAAGACCGTAATTCATGCTAAAGATTACCCAACTAAGTATTTATTAACTGATGTGCTAATTTTTGTATATCTTGTTTTTTTCTACGTGTTTCACTTTTCTTTATACTGTAACTGCTATTCTAATAGCAAATCCTTCACAAAAGTGATTGCATTACATTCTTGATTCAATGATCTTTCCATTGATATATAATTTTATGGTGCTACTTTTTTTAAAAAAAAAAGTGGTTTTATTAGCTTGTTTTAGAAAATACACTTTTCCCAAAAGGTTTCCACAATTTTGGCCACTTCTGTAGACTTCATTTCTTGGCAACATCGTAGGATGACCTGCGTATGGAATAAAGTTGTTTGGGTGATGACAAAGGGGGGGGGGGGTGTTTGCAAGGATAACGTGCCCTTACCTCGTCACTGATGCTCCAGGGCATCTGGGGCAGGAAACTAAGAACCGCTTGAGAAAAGGGCTGATGAGGAACGTCATGTTCAAGTAGCAAGACTTCGGTCTCCGTCTCCTTATCGCCAGCTGCTCCCAAATTCTTTACAAAATGTCCCTAAACCAATGTACAATTTAATCAGTACTATGAGAAAGAGCAGATTTGGAAGGAAAAAAAAAAAAAAACCCAACCAGAATAATAAAGACAATTGGCCAAATAGTATTTTTTAAGAAGCCATCCTACATATGATGGAGACTTTACAGGAAGATCTAAATTCTAGCCAAAAATGGTAAGAGTTCTGTGTTATGGGGAACAGGTTGGGCTGCTTGTAATGTCTGACTTTTGCCTGTCTGGTTTTAATGTTGCCTGTTTTGTTTTAATGTCTGACAAAGAGGGATTTGGGTTCCAGAGCAAACTGGATCACACTACAGGTAGTCTTCGAATTACGACCACCATTGAGCCCAAAATTTATGTTGTTAGGTGAGAAATGCTTGCCACGTTTTCTTAAACGAATCACTGCAGTTGTTCCAATTAGTAACACCGTTGTTAAGCGAATCTGGTTTCCCCCATTGATTCTGCTTGTCAGTCGGTCGCAAAAGGGGATCACACGACCCCACAAAGCACTGCAACGGTCATAAATGTGAGTCAGTCGTCAAGCATCTGAATGTAAGTCAAGTAACCATGGAGATACTGCAATGGTCGTATTAAGTGTGAAAAATGGGCGTAAGTCACTTTTTTCCCAGTGCTGTTGTAACTTTGAAAGGTCACTAAGTTATCTGTTGTAAGTGGAGGACTTACAATCAGGGTTTGGAAAAAAAAAAGAGAATTGCAAAAAGGAGATCTATAGACAGAGATTGTCCAGAGATTAATAAAAAAAAATGTTTCCCATAATTGTCCTTTCCTGGTAGCTCTACCTGGGCACGTCCTGTTACTTCTGTGGCACAAATATGGAAGTGGCTTCTCTCTTATCTTTTTCCAAGATTTCCCCTCCCCCGCCCAATTTACTAGCATCTCCTGACGGTCTCACATTCAAAACAATTAGCAAGTGAAATACCACATTTTTCAGCGTATAAGACGCACCAGAGTATAAGACGCACCTACCTTTTTTGGTGAGGAGTAGTAGTAAAAGAAATCTCCCTCTGCCTCTGAGCAATTTTGCCTCCTTGCAGCAAACAGCCTGATTTACTTTCATTTCCGTTTTCACCATAGCTTGATTAGCACAAGGGGAAAAAAAATCTGCTCTAGCAATTTACCTCTTTGCAGCAAGCAGCAGAGCCCTGAGAGCAAATCAGCTGAGAGTTGGGAGGCCGATCCGATCAACTTGTGCTAATTAGGTTGTGCTGAAGCTGAAAGCTGTTTTTTCTTACTGCTTGCTTGCAAGGAGGTAACTGCTGCAAGGCAGAGGCCAGAAGGTGGGGGCCAATGGGTGGGCGGGGCTACATTCGGTGTATAAGACACACCTAAATTTTCACCCCCTTTTAGGGGGGGGGGAAAGGTGCATCTTATACTCCGAAAAATATGGTAATTGCTACAATAAGTGCAGAATTTTGGTTGCCAGCCAAAGCTGCTTCTGCTTTTTCTTGCAAAGGGTCAATGACAAGAGCCGTGGTGGTGCAGTGGTTAGAATGCAATATTTTAGGCAAGCTCTGCCTGCAGCCAAGGGTTCGATCCTGACTGGCTCAAGGCTGATTCAGCCTTCCATCCTTCCAAGGTCAGTAAAATGAGGACCCAGATTGTTGGAGCCAATATGCTGACTCTGTAAACCGCTTAGAGAGAGCTGTAAAAGCACTATGAAGCAGTATATAAGTCTAAGTGCTATTACTTAGGAAGGAAGGAAGGAAGGAAGGAAGGAAGGAAGGAAGGAAGGAAGGAAGGAGTGAGTAGTGGCAGCGTTTAGAATACAGTATTGCAGGCTGACTCTGCCCACCGCCAGGAGTTTGATCCTGACCGGCTCAAGGTTGCCCAGCCTTCTATCCTTCCGAGGTTGCTAAAATGAGGGCCCAGATTGTTGGGGGCTATAGGCTGACTCTGTAAACCGCTTAGAGAGGGCAGTAAAGCACCATCGAATGTTGTGTAAGTCTATTGCTATTGTTATCTGTAATCTTCAGCAACTACTAAGCCTCACAATGTTTCATTTCCGACTTACATTGGGATACCGGGATGTTTTAGGCCATCCGTCAATAGCCACAATGATTCTTTGCCCTTCGAGGATAGAAGCCTGCCTGGTTTCTATCCGAATTCGAGGAATTCTTCGGTCAGCTGGCGTGAATAAATGCCGCCTGGCCTGGCGAGGAACAAGGACAATGGCTTTTATTACAGTTAAGAACACAGTCGCCAAATCAAAGGTGCAAAGGTCCATCTTCGTTCCTACCTCTTTAATGTGTGATTTAGACAGCATGCCACAATATGGCCTCCAGTTTCTTTTGATAATCCCCACAACTTTGCCTGTTGGTCGTAGCATTGCCGTGTTCACTGAAGTCTTCAGCTAAGGGTTTAAGAACACATAGCTGCAACTGAGACTCGTGTGGACAATAAGGCAGTCGGATCAGTTAACATGTCTATCTATAATCCACGTTCCCCTCTCCAGTTGTAAGAAATGCTGTATCCTGCACAGCTGGTAACATCTGCACACCATTCAGGTCGGGCAACAATAGTTTAAAACAAATGCAAAATAGAGTTAATGCCAAAAAACAAAACAAAACACCACTTATGAAAAAGGACTTCAAGGAAAAGCAGGAAGGTAGAACAGATGAGACATTTCGTTACTGTTACTGGTTTTTGGAGCGGATGTTGGACGACAATCAAATACAATTTTAATTCATGGAAAAGCCCCTCTGTCTTGTGTCTGCCGCTGAACAGGCTTCAGTCATAGCCTGATTACAACAGAAAAGCTTTACAAGGTTATTTCCCAGCATCTCTCATGTAAGGCTGGATTTCGGGATTCCTTCAACCATTTGAGGGAACCAACCAATCTGCCTTCCATAGTAGGAAAAGCAAAAACTCTAGGTCAGCAAGGCCATTATGACATCGTCTGTTACATTTACATGCATCTTGGAACCTAGGTCCTCTGGAGCCCGCAATAAAGCTGGTTATGCGGATTTAGCACTAGGCAACCTCTACAGAGGAATTATTGAGTGTGTCATCTTCACCTCTATAACTGTCTGGTTTTGTTCTGCAACCCAACAAGACAGACACAGACTTCAGAGGATAGTTAGAACTGCAGAAAAAAACAATTGCTACCAACCTGCCTTCCATTGAGGACCTGTATACTGACTCAAAAAGAGGGCTGTGAAAATATTTACAGACCTCTTGCAACCTGGACATAAATTGTTTCAACTCCTACCCTCAAAACGACACTATAGAGCACTGCACCCCAGAACAACTAGACACAAGGACAGTTTTTTCCCGAATGCCATCACTCTGCTAAACAAATAATTTCCTCAACACTGTCAAACTAGTTACTAAGTCTGCATTACTATTAATCTTGTCATCGTTCCTATCACCCTCTCCTCCCACTTATGACTGCATGACTGTAACCTTGTTGCTGGTATCCTTACGATTTATATTGACTTTTACCTAATATGATTTGATTGCTTATTTGTTCCCTATGACTATCATTAAGTGTTGTACCTTATGATTCTTGACGAATTTATCTTTTCTTTTATGTACACCGAGAGCTTATGCACCAAAGACAAATTCCTTGTGTGTCCAATCACAATTTAGTTTAGTTTAGTTTAGTTTAATGCGATTTATATGCCGCCCTATCTCCAATGGACTCAGGGCGGCTCACAACAGTAAAATACACAACATTAATACAATATAAAATTTAAAAGTCCAAATTAACAATTTAAAATCAATTTAAAAACTATTTTAAAAAAACCATCATAATTGGCCAATAAAGAATTCTATTCTATTCTATTCTTAGGAATTCACTGGGAATTTCTGCTCCTGCTAGAAAAGAAATAAAAATGCAAATGGTTTCTGGCCTTTATAGATGCAAAACTGACTAGACTGTATGTAACACGAGCTGGACTTCAGTCAAGCCTTCACAATAATTTGCAAGAATCCTGAGTATTTCGAAAGAGTAAAGTTCTGCATGCCAAATCAAATTCTCTCCAAGAAAAGTTTGCTGTTGTCCAACAGTGGAAGTGAATAAACTTCCACCATCTTCTGGTCTGCTCTTAGTTTCTTGGGCTTCACAAGTTCTAAAGCCGGCCAAGACAGCCTGCAGGACACCCTGGGAATAAGACTGGCCCTAGAGAGACTCAGGTTCAAGTCCTCCCTTGGCTGTGGAAGCTCCTGAAGGGAGGGCAGGATCTAACACTTAAAGAAATGAAGCTCTAAAGAATAGAGGTACAGCTTCAAAGCCCTAACAGCTAGATGTCTATGGAGATTCTCAGTCATCCAGGTCATGGTTATCCTAAAGGTGACTTTTTTTCCCCCCAAGAGTCAACTGGACTTTTTTGGTTTTTCTTTGAAGATGTTTCACCTCTCACTCAAGCTTCTTCAGTTTGAGATGAAGACAGCACAGACTCATCCTCCAACAGCCTGCGCTTGTGCTCAACAGCGAAGGGACTAGGCAGAAAACATCCTGCAGAAAGCACAGCTCCAACCTCTCAGAGAAACAGAGCTGAAGAAGCTTCTTGGATGAGAAGTCTTCAAAAAAAAAACCCAGAAAGTCCAGTTGCCTCTTGAAAAAAAGAAAAAGCACCTTTGGGACACAAAAGCTAGACCTTTGCTTTTGGGGAGGAAAGGCTCACAGGGCAGAATTTTGTCCCATTTCCACAAAGGCGATACTTCTTCCCAGACTGAATTCTGAAACGCAGAATTTTCCTTTGTTGTTGTTGTTGTTAGTTACGAAGTCGTGTCCGACCTATTGTGACCCCGTGGACAATGTTTCTCCAGGCCTTCCTGTCCTCTACCATCCTCTGGAGTCCATTTACACTCACGCCTACTGCTTCAGTGACTCCATCCAGCCACCTCATTCTCTGCTGTCCCCTTCTTCTTTCGCCCTCAATCGTTCCCAGCATTAGGCTCTTCTCCAAGGAGTCCTTCCTTCTCATTAGGTGGCCAAAGTATTTGAGTTTCATCTTCAGGATCTGGCCTTCTAAAGAGCAATCAGGATTGTTCTCCTCTAGGACTGACTGGTTTGATCACCTTGCAGTCCAAGGGACTCGCAGGAGTCTCATCCAGCACCATAGTTCAAAGGCCTCAATTCTTTGGTGCTCAGCCTTTCTTATGGTCCAACTTTCACAGCCATACATTGCAACTGGGAAAACCATAGCCTTGATTATACACACTTTTGTTGGCAGAGTAATGTCTCTGCTTTTTAGTATGCTGTCTAGATTTGCCATGGCTTTCCTCCCCAGGAGCAAGCATCTTTTAATTTCTTGGCTGCAGTCCCCATCTGCAGTGATCTTGGAGCCCAGGAAAACAAAATCTGTCACTACCTCCATTTCTTCCCCATTTATTTCCCAGGAACTGAGAGGGCCGGATGCCACAATTTTCCTTGCAAGAATGTAAAGGGAAAGCACAGAAGCAAAGAACGCCATACCTTGTTTTGATCTTCCTCTTCTTTTTCAATATCTTCTTCCTCATTCTTGGTCTCATCATCAAGCAGAATCACAGAAGATGGAGCAGCCCAAGCATCCTTGGACAGCAGTTCCACGGCTACGATATCCTCATGCACAGCACGATTTAAGTGTTTAAGCCCTTGTATTATTACCTTAATGTGAAGTAAACGATCAGATTTAGGTACCAAAAGCCATACGGGTAGGCGACTTAACAACCACAATTGAGCTGCAAATTTCTGCTGCTAAGCGAAACATTTCTGTTAAGCAAATTCTCCCCCGTTTTATGAACTTTCTTCCTACAGTTGTATAGTGAATCCCTGCAGTTGTTGAGTTAGTAATACCATTGTTAAGTTAATTTTGTTTGCCAGGTCGCAAAAGGGGATCATATGACTCTGGAACACTGCAACCATCACAAATAATAGTCAGTTGCCAAGCGTCTAAATTTTGGTCTTGTGGCCATGAGGATGCCACAAAGGTCCTAAGTGTGAAAAACGGTCATAAGTAACTTTTTCAGGGTCGTTGTAACTTCGATCACTAAACGAATTGTTGTAATTTGAGAACTACCTGTATTTGGAGATGACATACAAAAGAGATGCGTTCCAGTAAGTCCTACGCCAAAGAAATACCCAGTGACCCCTTCTACAATGTGGATTAATATTAAAGATGACCCACTATATTTAAAACAAAAATCAGAGTTTCGGAGCAGCTCTTTTTGGAGTTATAACTAACTTAAGAAGTTAGTGGTGGCGCAGTGGTTAGAATGCAGTATTGCAGGCTAACTCTGCCAACTGTCAGCAGTTCGATCCTGACCGGCTCAAGGTTGACTCAGCCTTCCATCCCTCCAAGGTCAGTAAAATGAGGACCCAGATTGTTGGGGGGCAATAGGCTGACTCTGTAAACCGCTTAGAGAGGGCTGTAGAAGTCTAAGGGCTATTGCTAATAAGAAGTCCTTAAATCTAGAAGTCAATGTCAGCAGGTAGATAGTAAGACGCCAGCAAGTTCCACCTGATCTTTAACCTCTCACAGAAATGCATATTTTCGGTGCCCATCATACACTCCATTCCAACATACAGGAGTTTAGAGAAGACGATCCCTGCGATTCCTACAGAATTTTTCATTTCCTAGTCAAGAATTTCACAGCCAATCAATATATCAAACCAACCTCTTTTTCTTGGTCATTGCCGTGAATCCAAACTGTGGCTTCCAAGTAATTGTCTCTGCTAGCTCTGAAGGTGCCCTGAAGGTAAAGGCCGGACTTAATGCCCTGCTGCAGTTTGCTGAGCGGGAGATGTTCCAGGAAAATGATCTTGCTGCTTTCAATTTCATTCTGTAAAAGAGATTTGTGCACAAAACGTCCCTTGCAATGTTGCAACTAATAAATGTATTTCAGGACCTCGGACTGTAGCCCCGATTCTGCACTGAGAGAACATGGCATTTTCAGTCTCCTTATAGACCCTACTGCCAAAATTCAGCAGAACAGAAAATAACACTTGCAGTTGAAAATGTACCTCTTCATCATTCAAGCAAGCAAGCCGATCCATAAGCTCGGGATGACCGATTAGGCTCTTTACGTACTCTTCACCTAAAACAAAAAAAGAGAGCGCAAAATTTGCACTTTGAGAAATGACGATCATTTACGCAGCAGGAAGTTTCCTTCAGGGAGAACAGAGAGCAATGTGGGCAACAAATGAGATACCAGTACACACTTATCACTCAAAAAAAAGAAAGATGGAAAGTTTTTTTTAAAAAAAAAAATAAGAGAGTGGACACTAGGAAAATAAGCTAAAGAGGGAGCAACCTTCCAAGGGAGGCTGGTTCCCAGAATTCTTGGTAGCATTTGAAGTCCCAGAGGAAGAATTACTTGGCCATCCCTGAGAAGGAAATAGCCAGATGAAGGCAGGCCTTCCCAGATGCAGCTGGGCCCTTTGGAGGCTCTTAGAAAACAATCCGTAGCTAGGAAAGGTCAGAAGGTCGGACTTACAGGTAAATGTGGTTATTCCCTCTTCTACAGCTTTCTCTTTATTTTTGCGGTCATTTGTGAGCAAGATGACCAGGATGCTTTCTTCCCCTTGCGATTTTCTCAAGTGCTCCTGATACCACTTGGCTACCAACCGAATGGCTCGGTCATTGCGGTCGTTTGCATTTTCTCCTCGTTCTTGTTCTATGTAGGTCTCTCTGGAAACAGAAACCCAGAGGGACGTTTTAGGAATGAAAACCGTACCTTGATTTTTTTATATATCTACCCCGTTTCCCCCAAAATAAGACATCCCCTGATAATAAGCCCAATCGGGCTTTTGAACGCATGGCAATAAGGCCAAGCGCTTATTTCAGGGTTCAAAAAAATATAAGACAGGGTCTTATTTTCTGGTAAACACGGTATTTCGGTGAAGTCAATGCCCCCACCCCCTCCCCCTCCCTCACTGACCAAGGCTACTGAAACTGTTAAGGTGGTTTTAAGAGCGCTAATAAATTGTGGGAGAAGAAATCTAAAGGTGAAATGGAAGCCAAACGACAATTTAATGTAACATGGAATGTACCAGTATATCCAAAGAATATACTGAAGAAACTGGCATGGGTTCTTAGGGCTTTAATGCAACAAGGGGCATTTTGCACAGGTCTGATGAAAATCTAGCATCGTTTGAATGGTTGAAATAATCCTGTTAGTCAGAAACTCCAAATCAGAGTCAAATGTATGCACTGGAAGAAGAAACTGCTGGGATCTAATAGAAAATATTGTAGTAACACATTAACCGAATAGCGGACTTCATGAATCACAGACCTGGGGATCAGCAACAGCAACAACAACAACAAAAAAGGTAGGAAGCATTCATAACCTTGCCAAAACATCTCTGCCAAGCAATGCAAATCAAGCAATTGCAGAAATCGGGCATTATACTGGCAATTTTATGTCCTTTCATTTCATAAAAATAAAAACAGTAGAATGAAAAGAAAGGTAAGATTTTCCTAATTCCCAGTGGGACAGCAAGATAGCTTTCCATCGTGCAAAGACGGTAAGCTCATAGATATAGAATAAAACGAAAAACATTATTCAGAGGTGCGGCAGCCATAAGAAAGGCACCAGAGGGAGGCAGGACCCATAACTCTGCCTTCACACCATGACTGAGCAGCTCCTTTCCAGCAAATGGTTTTGAACAGATGAGAAGTTTAGGACCCAAGAAAGGATTCCATGTATCTCTAAACATTGGTTTAGAGAAACCAAAGTTTCTCAACCTCTGGGACTTTTAAGAGGGTGGACACCAACTTCCAAAATCCCCAAGCCAGCCCAGTTAGGGGATTCTGGGAGGTTGAAAAACCGCATTTCAGTGTCAGAGGTAAGGTTTGGTAGCATCAAGCTGGTGAGACCCACTTGTGATGCTCATTGGTGAAGGCGTAGAAGTGCTTCTCGGGGGCAGCAATGGCGTCCTTGATGCGCCCGTAGACGGCTGCGCTGCGCTTCCGCACCTCCTGCAGGACTGTCTGCGGGACGATGGCGTTCCCAATGGCCGCATCTTCCAGCACGTCGATCTGTGAAGGAAGAGGAGGAAGGACAAGAAGGGAGGATGAGGACAGAGTAAAGAAGAGGAGAAGGAGGGAAGAGAAGGACGGAGGAGGGAAGAGGGAGAAGAGGAAGGAAAAGGAGGAAAGTGGAAGAAAAGGAAGGAAGATGAGGAGGAGGAGGAAAGAGGAGGGAGGAGGAAGAGGAGAAGGAGGGAAGAGAAAAATGGAGGAGAGAAGAGGGAGAGGAGGAAGGAAATGGAGGAGGAGGAGGAAGGTGGGAGAAAAGGAAGGAGAGGAGGAGGGAGGAGGAAGAAGGAAGAGGAGAAGGAAGGAAGGAAGAGGAGGAAGAGGAGGGAAGAAGAGGAGGAGGGAGGAGAAGGAGGAGAAACAATGAGAGAAGAGGTGGAGGAAAAGGAAGGAAAAGGAGGAGGGAAGAGGAGGAAGAGAAGGAGGAAGGATAAGGGGAAAGAAGAGGAGAAGGAAAAGGAAGGAAGAGGAGGAGGAAGGAGGAGAAAGGAGGAGAGAAGAGGAAGGACAGGAAGGAAGGAAGGAGAGAAAAGAGAGAAGTCAACCTGGGAAAGGAGGCCACGCGGAGAAGCCCTCCGAGGGAGACTCCACTCCGGGCGCACCTGGTGTAGCACCACGTTGGTGTCCAAGAGCAGGTAGTGGGGCCGCGGGACGAGAGGGCTGGCGGGAGAACCGGGGGCGGCCTCGAGGCCGCGCTGGGGGGCCTCCCCGCCGCAGAGCGGGCAGCCCGGCACCCCGCAGGCCACGTCGTCGCGCAGGTAGTGCTCGCGGACCACCTTGAGGACGGCGCCGCCGCGCGTGCGCTTCAGGAAGGAGCGCGAGGTCAACATCGCCCCGCCGCCGCCGCCGGGAACGCCGCCGTTCGATCCGGAGCACCAGCCGGAAAGAAGAGCGCCGCTTCCGCTTCCGCCGCTCTAGCCGCCGTCTCGTCGGCGGGCGGGTTGGCCGCACGCGCGCGAGCGAGCGTTGCGTTGCCATGGCCGCGGCGCGGCGCGGAGGGAGAGGAGGCGGCGCCGGCTCTCGCGCCTGCGCAGTCCGCCTGCCGGTTGTCCTCCGGCCGAGCGGGAGTCTTTGCCGTCCTCTGCCGGGGCGAGTGGAGGAAGGGAAGTTCCGTAAGGCGCTTTTCGTGAACCGGGACGGTTAGAAGGGCGAAGGTCTGACGTCCCGACTGAGAAATCGAACAGGTAAGCCCGACCGGACAGGAAGGCGAGACCTCCCCCCCGACCACCCTCGCGAGCTTTCTCCCCAATCCATTTGGCCAGAGATTCTCATTTAACGGACTCCATGAGTCCGTTAAATCCGAAGTTAGTTAATGGAGATGCTTTGAGCTCATCTCTGCCTTTGGGCATATGGTGGCATTGACCGAGCGCCTAAATCTGACCTAGATTCGCCAATGGCACCATAGGTTTGACCCAGTGGGTTTCCCCATTGTGTCTGAGCCTTGCCAAAGGTGGGGAGGGGAGGGGAGGGAGGTGTTCATAAACCTGAGACTTAACCATGTTTTATGGCTCTAATGATTGCTTTGCTTTGCTGCTGTAACAGTAATGCGTTTGTGAACAATGTGACCTGTACGGGTCTTCCTCGACTTACAGCGGTTCACTTAGTGACCGTTTGAAGCTATAATGCAGTGAATATTGCAGGTTTGGTTATTGTCCGAGGATCCTTGCAGTTTTCTCGTTACAATCCTTGTGCTGTTCTGGTATTGACATCATTGGAGGCAGCCTCAAGTTAGAATATAGGTCCTCGACTTACAACAGTTTGTTTAGTGACCGAAGTTACGACTGAAAAAAAGCCACATATGACTGTTTAACGACTGTTGCAGATCCCCCCACACTCACGTGATTTACATTGGGATTCTTTGACGACTGACTCACATTTATAATCCATATTGTGTTGCAGCCGCCCATCTTTATTATTTCTACAGCTTCACATCTCAATAAATGATTCTGGATAGTGTACGTTACTGCTATGTACTGAGAAAATTTTGGAGTTAGTCGGAGGCCCAGGGGGGAAAAAGAGTTGGTTGAAACTGAGACTGGCATTCTGTCTGCAAGATGCCAGTTTCTTCCTTTTTTGATTAAAAATACATCACATGGAGAAAGGAGACTATGAGGTGCCAATGAATGTGGGCATAGATGTGTAGCTGCCCCCCCAAAATGCCAGCTTGGGAGCCCTAAATATAGATTCTTGTTTAGATTAGACAGAATTTTATATTTGCCCTGTTCTACTTATTACACAGTGAATTGAAAGTATTTAAACATAATGTTTTATTTGCTGTTGCTTTCTCTTTTTAATTTACCTTCTCTTTGCTTACTTTTTAAGCTTGTTACAATTTTGAAGAGAACGGGTTTTTTTACATCCTGCTAGAAGATGTCAAGGAAAAGCTCCAGGGATCCCAAGAAAGTAAATTTATCCAGCTCTTTGGAATCAGAAGATATTAGCTTAGAGACGACCTTCCCCACCGATGATATCTCCTCGTCAGAAGATCGGGACGGTACCGTCAAAATTACGAGGCAGCTTATAGAGAGGAAAGAACTGCTGCATAATGTCCAGTTACTCAAAATCGAGCTTTCTCAGAAGAACTTGATGCTAGATAACTTAAAAGTGGAGTACTTGACAAAGGTAAGAGGATGGCTTTCTTTCTTTTTTAATTTTCACGTTCAAGTGTTTTAGGACTGAACTTGCTAGTGTTGATAGCTCTTCTAATAGCTCTCTGTTTCTCAACATAATCTTTGGTAACTGCTACTTATTTGGATCCATTTCAGTCAAAATTTGAGGCTGAGAGAGAGGGGGAGGGAGGGAGAGGAACGGAGGCAGGGAGGGAGGGGGAGGGAAGGAGGGAGAGAGAGAGCTAGAGAGAGGGAGGAAGGGAGGGAGAGAGAGGGAAGGTGGGTGGGAGAGAGGAAGGGAGGGAGAAGGAGGGAGGGACGGAGGGAGAAAGAGGGACAGAGAGAGGGAGAAGGGAGAGAAGCAGGGACCATATACAGGTCTTGTATGGAAGACAGACTGGTTGCAATTGTTCTTTCTGCAGTCTTAACTATCCTTTGGAGTCTGTACCTGTGGTACAAGTTGGTTGTTATAGAAGTAACAGATTAACAGAGTTGGAAGGGACCTTATACCTCTAACTCCCTGCTCAAGCAATAATAATAATAATAATAATAATAATAATAATAATAATAATAATAATAATAATAATAATATAATTTTATTTCTATACCGCCCTTCTCCCGAAGGACTCAGGGCGGTGTACAGCCTATTTAAAAACACAGACAAAACAACAATATAAAATTTAAAATAATTAAATAAAGTGGCTCAAATTTAAAACCCCAATAAATTTAAATACCCCAATTTAAAACTATTGTGTTGATAGTCCGGCCTGGCGGAACAACAGGGTCTTCAATGCGCAGCAAAACACCCGGAGGTCGGAGATCTTACGAATTTCCGGGGGCAGTTCGTTCCACAGGGCTGGGGCTCCCACAGAGAAGGCCCTCCCCCTGGGCGTCGCCAGCCGACATAACTTGGCTGATGGCACCCTGAGGAGACCCTCTCTGTGGGAACGGACTGGTCAGTGGGAGGCTATTGGTGGCAGAAGACGGTCTCGGAGGTACCCGGGTCCTATGCCATGGAGCGCTTTAAAGGTGGTAACCAACACCTTGAATCGCACCCGGAAGACCACTGGGAGCCAGTGCAGCTCGCGCAGAAGGGGTGTCACATGGGCACAACGGGTTGCGCCCATAACCACCCGCGCAGCCGCATTCTGGACCAGTTGGAGCCTCCGAGTGCTCTTCAAGGAGAGCCCCATGTAGAGAGCATTACACCATTTCTGACAAATGGCAGTCTAATCTTTTCTTGAAAGTCTCAAGTGATGAAGCTCCGCCAACTTCCGAAGGCAACTTCTGTTCCATTGGTTGATTCTTTTCAACTGTCAGAAAGTTCCTCCTCATTTCTAGGTTGATTTCCCCTTGGTCAGTTTCCATCCATTATTCCTTGTCTGGCCTTCAGGTGCTTTGGAAAGCAGCTTGACCCCCTCCTCTCTGTGGCAGCCTCTCAAGTATTGGAAGACAGCTATCATGTCTCCCCTAGTCCTTCTCTTCGCTAGACCAGCCACGCCCAGTTCATGCAACCGTCCTTTATATGTTTTAGTCTCCAGTCTCCTAATCATCTTGGTTGCTCTCCTCTGCACCTTTTCTAGAGTCCCAACATCTTTTTTATAGTGTGGTGACCAAAACTGGATGCAGTACTCTAGGTGTGGCCTTACTAGGGCTTTATAGAGCGGTATTAGTACCTCACTTGATCTTGATTGTATCCCTCTGTTAATGCAATTTAGGATTGTGTTAGCTTTTTTAGCTGCCGCTGCACACGGCTGGCTCTTATTTAGCTGATTGTCCACTAAGACTCCAAGATCCCTCTCACAGTCACTGCTATTAAGTATGGTTTCCCCCAGTTTATATGTGTGCTTTTTCTTTTTCTTGCCTAAGTGTAAGACTTTACTTTTCTCTACATTGAATTTCATTTTGTTCGATAGGGCCCAGTGTTCAAGTCTATCAAGATCTATCTGGATCTTGAGCCTATCTTCTAGGGTGTTAGCTATTCCTGTCAGCTTAGTATCATCTGCAAATTTTGTGAGTTCCCCTTCTATTCCCTCATCTAAGTCGTTTATGAAGATATTGAAGAGTACTGGGCCTAAGACGGAACCTTGTGGTACCCCACTGCTTACTTCTCTCTATATAGACTTAGACCCATTAAGGACTACTCGTTGAGTACGGTTTGTCAGCCAGCTGCGAATCCATTTGGTGGTGAAGCTATCTATCCCACTTTTTTCTAAGTGGGTTGTACACATGACAAACTCAACAATTCATCTGTAAAACTGTATCAACAGCTCCTAGGTCAGTCTGACCTTCCTGAGTTGATGCAGGAAGAACATTCTTTGCTCTGCCTTTTTAATGACGGTTTGAATGTTACGCGAATTGCGTTAATGTTAAGAATTGCAACATTAAGAATTGTGCTTATGCTAAGAATTACAGTAACATCTGTATCTTCTCTTGGTTTCCTTGTACAAATCTAAATTGGGGCTCACGTTAATCGTGGTTTATTTTCTTTATCAAATTTATTGCTTTAGATTGAAGAACTAGAAGAGAAACTTAATGATGCAGTCCATGAGAAACAACTACTGTCTTTACGACTAGATAACCAGCTGGCGTTACAGCAAGAAGATGCTAGGTATGAAAGAAAAGGTATTAGAAGCAGGAGTTCAATCAAACTGGACTGCTCCAATTTGATATTCCATAATTGCATTCCAGATCTTTGAACGAAAAACACGTTCAGAGGAGTGGCTTGGGTGAAAACTGATTTGCTCCCTCCCTCCTCCTTGCTATTCTCAAGATTTTTGGCCCCTTCTGTTTTCTCATTTGGACAAAACATATCTCCAGGCCAGAAAGCTGTGGCTTGATTCAGCCCAACCAACTAGGCTCGGAAACCAGGGTTAACTTCCAAATTCTGGTTTTCCATTTATGGGCAATAACCATCCATTCTTGTTCGCTTTCTTGGGCAAAGAAGGATACATGGTTGTTGCTATGTCTGAAGAGGAGAAGAAGGAAGGATGAATTAAAAGATGTTTTGGTGTTTTTCTGAACTATTCCAGGTATTCCATTTCTTAGCTCTTCAGACAGTGAGTTGATAACCCTGTTTCCCCCAAAATAAGACATCCCCTGATAATAAGCACAATTGGGCTTTTGAGCGCATGGCAATAAGGCCAAGCACTTGTTTCAGGGTTCCAAAAAATATAAGACAGGGTCTTATTTTTGGGGAAACACGGTACTAAGATGTAGCCAGGTTATATCAAAGGACAGTGGAAGTGCATTGAAAAAACAAGCCTGTTTCATGAAAATGGAACTTGTGATGTTATTATCTTGGCAGTGGTTTCCAAAAGAGTGTAAGCACTGGATTCAAGTCCTGGCATCTGAGAAATAGGCTTTGTTCCTAGGCCAGGGCTGTCAAACTCACAGCCCGTGGGCCAGATGCATCAAGTGCTGGCCATGCCCACTCCCGTTTTAGCGAAGGGGGGGGGAAGTCGCGATACATCACGTGACGACACCGTGATGATGCAAGTTTGACACCCCTGTCCTAGGCCTCCTGAATAAAAATCCATAGGGTTACATTGCACATTTCTATTCTGTAGGAATTGTAGTAGGCTTGTTGGTCTGAAAATCAGGCACCACACACTCATTCAATCAACTGTTGAAAATAAAAGCACTGAATTTTTGAATTGGGCTTTTTTTTAAAAAAAAAAAAACAGTTAAAAGCAAAAGGCTATGTATGTTTCTCATTATCTTGATAAAACAGCATAAATAATTCAGGCTTATACATTGTGTCTTATTTAAATATTATTAAAATAATTGTTCTGCAAATGAGAGTAGACTTTTGTTCAGAAGTATTAATGGTATTGCCTCGGTCTAGGATAAGTCCCTTTTTAGGTAAGTAACAAACAACTCTTTTCCTAGAAAACATCAAGAATTAATGAAACAGGAAATGGAAACCATCTTATTGCGCCAAAGGCAACTAGAAAAGAACAATCATCAGTTACGAGAGCGCTCTGGAGATATACGTCGTAGCCTGCGTGATCTTGAATTGAACGAAGAGTATTACACCAAACTCAAATCTCTTTCAGAAGATGAACTTTCCATTCCTGAATACGTGTCTGTAAGTGCTTGAATAGAACAAGCAAAGAAAAAGGAAATAGGCTGGACTGGATAGAATTAGAATTAGAATTAGAATTAGAATTAGAATTAGAATAGAATAGAATAGAATAGAATAGAATAGAATAGAATAGAATAGAATAGAATAGAATAGAATAGAATAGAATAGAATAGAATAGAAATTAGAGAATAGAATAAATATTAGAGAGTAGAGTAGAACAGAACAGTACAGAACAGTAATAATAGAATGCAGAATGGCATGGTGTAGCGTGGTGTGGCATAGAGTTAGAATGGAGTGGAGTGTGAATGGAATAGAATGGAATAGGCTTTGTAATTGTTAGTAAATTCTGGAATAAGCTGTAAGAGGGATATTTGCATTTTAAAAAATTCTGGTTTGGGTATGGGCCAGTGGTGAAATCTAAAATTTGTTACTATTGGTTCTGTGGGCGTGGCTTGGTGAGGGGGTAATGTGACTGGGTGGGCGTGGCCAATTTTTTTTTTACTTTTAAAACCACTTTTTCTACAACTTCTTCAGCGAAGAGGTTGTAAAAAAATGCTTTCAAAAGGCTCTGACGATCCCAGCTGAGTTGCCTGATCGGCAGAGACTTTTTTCCTTTTAAATGCCTCTGACGATCCAAGCTGAGCCGTGCGATCATCAGAGGCTTTTTTTTTTTTTTACTTTTAAAAGCATTTTTTCGGCCGAAGAGGTTGTAGAAAAAATGCTTTTAAAAGTAAAAAAAAAGCCTCTGATGATTGTGAGGCTCAGCTGGGCATGGGGGAGGGGGGGGCAGGGATTTTTGCTACCAGTTCTCCGAACCACCCGCCTCCATCGCTACCGGATCGGGGGATCCGGTCCGAACCAGGAGCATTTCACCCCTGGTATGGGCCCAACAAAGCTGTTTAAGTTTATCTCCTGGCTGAAAAAATCTTATTGTCTGGTTTTTTTCTGTTAGTTGGATAAAAGCTACTACCTCTCCTTAGTAGCTTTTATCCAACTCATTCTCATCTCTTTGGTCACAGCAGATGACTACAACTTTGTGTCATTTTTTTTTCCCTTTAGCGTACAGGACATTCTAAATTCGTCAGGCTGTTTTACCAGTTCCAAGAATTCTTGCCCTTAGTTTCTATCGATAGGTGACTTCACAGGTGCTGCCCATAATCTGGCAAGTGGGGTTGGAGGTGGGCAAATGAGGTAGCCAATTACAGGTAGTCCTCAGCTTACAAACTCAGTGACCATTCGAAGTTGCAACAGCAGTGATAAAAGTGACTTATGACCATTTTTCACACTTAATGACCGTTGCAGCATCCCCCTGGTCACAGGATTAAAAATTCAGATGCTGGGCAACTGGCTCATATTTATGACGGTTGCAGTATCCCCCGGGATCCTGGGATCCTCTTTTGCAATCTTCTGACACAAGTCAGTGAGGAAGTCGGATTCGCTTAACAGACAGTGTTGCTAACTTAACAACTGCCACGATCCGTTTAACAACCGCGGCGAGAAAGGTTATAAAATGGGGCAAAACTCACTTAACACCTGTCTCGCTTAGCAAGAGAAATTTTGGGCTCCATCGTAGTTGTAAGTCGATGACTGCCTGCGAACACCAAACATATTCTGTAGATTACCTGTAAACTATGAATGTAACGTGTGGAAGATAATCGACTTTTTTATGCTGGCCTCACTATTACTCTGTTGCTTCTCAGCAGCACTTCCTTTCCCCTTCAGATGTGCAGGGCTGGGAAACCTGCGGTCTGATTTCAAAAAAACCTTTATGAGCTGTGGGTTCCAGCCTCCCTCCCTCCCTCCTTTTGGATGTGCATGTGGGGAAGAAGAGGGGCTAAAGCATGGATGGTGCAGCTGCTGGCAGAATGCCCTCAAAGAGAAGGGGCTCCCGATGGAACAACGGTTTCCCCTTCTTGGAACAGGTCTGCCTTTATTTTTAAGTGCTTTGCAGAGAATTCTAAAAGTCCAAATTCCTGCCTGGCAGCTCAGCCCTGACGTGCAGTTAGTTTGGAGAAGAGAAAGGGTATAAAATATTCATCGCTCTTCCACTTAACTTCGAAAGATAATGCCTTGCAATTGCTTTTTTGCGCCTCCAGATTAGATTCTACGAAGCGGTGCATCCTTTAAAAAACGAGATCGGCGAACTGCAGGCCAAGAAGGAGGCAGCCTGGGAAGAACTGAACGAGTACAAATCTCAGCTCAAGCACTTGTTAGAGGTGTGTATTTCCCTTTTCCCTCCCAGGCGTTGTTCGGAAGCTGCTGTGGCTCTCGATGCTCAGCACATATTCCAGTGTCTTCTTTCCTAATGGGTCAATTAATGTGATTTCTGGGGCTCCCCAAACACGACAAACCCTCTGAAGTTAAAGATTTCTTTAATTAGGAGTGCTGGCAGCCCTGGCAAAAAAAGTGTCTCTCTCAACACAGGCTAACAAGGCCATCCGACTGGAAGATGAATAGTTGTCTGCCACATCTATTCATCTCCGCCTCCTGCCTTTTATCCCCAGAGCTAGGGTGGGGCCTCACTAGCAGCGGTGGCTCTTCCTTCCCAAGGATCGGCCCATAGATTTCCACTGCTCTCCTCTCCTCTGCCTTCTGCGCATCTATGCGTCAGGCACTAGACCCAGCTGTTCCTCCTCTTCCTCATCAGCCACCTCCAGACCTGGGGGTTGTTGACTCTCCATCTGAGGGCTGATGGACGACCCAGGCTCTGCCTCTGTCTCTCTCTCTCTATCTGCCAGCTCCATTCCCTCTTCCCCCTCTGAGCTCTCAGGTTGCCTTGATGTTGACCCTGACTCCCACACCTCCTCCTCATCTGATCTGGCTGCTGGAGGGGCTGACAGGCCACAACAGTATTGAAAACTTTTGGATTTCTGCTGCTAGAGGGGAGTCTATGACAGTTCGCCATGGGCAACTCACCACAGGACAAGAGTTACACTAATATTAAAGAAATAGTGGAATGGAATCATTAAAGAAAAGATGCGAAAGGAGGGACAGAATGAAATGTGAATAGCCAAAATTAAAATTATTTATTTATTTTAAGTAATTAAATAGATTTGTTAAATTGGCCTGCGGCGAGTTGGCCGTGGCAAGTTGTCCCATTCCTTACCAAGGATGGCGACAGGTTGTGGTTAAAAGAAAAGAAAAGACGGTGGCTGCGATGGTGTTTTGTTGTTGTTGTTGTTGTTTGATTGATTGCCAGCTTCTCTATGTTTGTCTCACACTCCCACATCATGTCCAGTTCAAACCAAGAAGCAACTTTTAAGAGCCTTGGTGGCGCGGTGGTTAGAGTGCAGTACTGCAGGCTACTTCTGCTGACTGCCGGCTGCCTGCAATTTGGCAGTTCGAATCTCACCAGGCTCAAGGTTGACTCAGCCTTCCATCCTTCCGAGGTGGGTAAAATGAGGACCCAGATTGTTGGGGTCAATATGTAGACTCTGTAAACTGCTTAGAGAGGGCTGTACAAGCACTATGAAGCGGTATATAAGTCTAAGTGCTATTGCTATCTTCCTAACTCCCTCCCTCCCTCCCTTCTATGGTGTGCAGTGGTTAGAATGCAGCATTGCAGGCTAACTCTGCCCACTGCAAGGAGTTCGATCTTGACCAGCTCAAGGTTGACTCAGCCTTCCATCCTTCCGAGGTGGGTAAAATGGGGACCCAGATTGTTGGGGGCAGTATGCTGATTCTGTAAAACTGCTTAGAGGGGACTGTAAAAGTACTGTGAAGTGGTATATAAGTCTTAAATCAGAGGTCTTCAAACTTGGCAGCTTTAAGACTTGTGGACTTCAACTTCCAGAATTCTCCAGCCAGCTGGCTGGAGAATTCTGCAAGTTGAAGTCCACAAATCTTAAAGCTGCCAAGTTTGAAGTCCTCTGGTCTAAGTGCTATTGCTCACACCTTCCTCTTCTTTTCATTCTTGACCCCAGGAAGAAAGGGCAAACTTGGGAAAATCAGCTTTTTCTTCATCCCTAGCTAACATAGAAGCTGCCTCCTGAAACAGCGACTGAGGGTTTGAATTTAATCCGTGAGGGAGGCCCCAGTGAACGAAGCGCTTTGGGACGTGGTGCTGAAATTCCTCCGTAGGTCCCTTTTTTTTTTTTTTTTTTTTTTGACCACTTGGGGTCAGTATCTCCTCATTGGTTGCACGGTCTCCAGAGTCTGGAGAGAGGATCGTCTTGACTCCAGATATTAAAGAAGATCCGTAGGTGAAGTTGAGTCTCCATTTTGCTAAGCAAAGGTCTGCGGAGATTCTCAGTCTTCCAGGTAACAGTTGTCCCAGGGGTGCTTATTTTTCGAGACGCAAATGGACTTTCTTGTTTTTCTTTGGGGACGTTTCGCTTCTCATCCAGGGAGTTTCTTCAGCTCTGACCAGATGGTGGGGAAAGAAGGGATTTGTGTTCCTTGCGGACGGCTGGTCATTTGCATTCTTTTAGAACAGAGATCCCCAAACTTGGCAGCTTTAAGACTTGTGGACTTCAACTCTCACAATTCTCCAGCCAGTTTGGGGATCCCTGTTTTAGAGAGTCGTTGGGGCCGCTTGGAGGTTTATCTGCCTTGGTGGTGCAGCAGACTAAAGTGCTGTTAAGTAATACCAGCTGCCTGCAATTACTGCAAGTTCAAATCTCACCAGGCTCAAGGTTGACTCAGCCTTCCATCCTTTCGAGGTAGGTAAAATGAGGACCCAAATTGTGGGGGCAATAAGCTGACTTTGTATAAAAAAGAACACCGCTTGGGGGGGGCCCGAAAGCCCTACTAAGCAGGTATATTCAAAAGTATGAAGGCTATTGCTTAACGCATTGTAAGCCGCCCTGAGTCTCCGGAAAATGGCGGCATATAAATCGAACCAACCAACCAACCTCCTGGTCCTCAAAGCATTTAAACTATTTTGGGTTTTAGCCAACTGGACGGCCTTCCGCCATCGTGCCTCTCGCCCAGGATGTTTCAAGGAATTTCTCTTAATTCAGATCGTGTGAAGGTGGAGAGTTACCTCAAGTCTACTTTCACTTAACTTGGTTTCTTTTGCTGGCTTTTTTTGGGGGGGATGAGTGGAGTGTGGAGGGAGATGTCACAGATCTTTAGCCCCATCCATAACTGACAGAAAAACCTCAATTCTCTAACAGGAGTACAAAATATTGGCACTCTTGCTGAGAAACAAATCTGGCATTTAATTCTCAACAAACCTGAAATAGCTGTAATTATTATGAATCCCTGCTAGGTGTTTCATGCCTTTTTGCTGCCTTTATTTTGCTGATAACGTACTTACGACTGCTGCTGCTGCTTTGGGAAGAGCTTATGTGCAGTTTTTAATAATTGCTCTCAGTGCTTACTAAGAGGGTTTTTACTAGCAGAGACCAGAATTTGAATCAGAAGCGAATCCTAGGCCACTGTAGGAAGAAACCGGGTTCCTTCCTTATTAAGGTAAAGGTTCCCCTCGCACATATGTGCTAGTTGTTCCTGACTCTAGGGGGCGGTGCTCATCTCTGTTTCAAAGCCGAAGAGCCAGCGCTGTCCGAAGACGTCTCCATGGTCATGTGGCCGGCATGACTAAATGCCAAAGGTGCACGGAACGCTGTTACCTTCCCACCAAAGGTGGTCCCTATTTTTCTACTTGCATTTTTTACGTGCTTTCGAACTGCTAGGTTGGCAGAAGCTGGGACAAGTCATGGGAGCTCACCCCGTTACGCGGCACTAGGGATTCGAACTGCTGAACTGCCGACCTTTCGATCGACAAGCTCAGCGTCTTAGCCACTGAGCCACCGCATCCCTGTCTTTCAAGACGATTAAGTGTAAAGTAAAAGGCTCCCATTGGGAATAATTCAGGGTTCAAGTGCCATCCTTTTTAACGCTCCTGAATGATGGGCAAGGGTAAAGATGCAGTGAAGGCCATCCTGGACTTGGTTTCAGATTGCCACGGATTCAGATTTACCTTAGCTACCTCCTAGCTCAAGGATGTCAAACTCAAGGCCCATGGGCTGGATCTGGCCTGCGGGGTGTTTAGATCTGGCCCACAGGGCCGCCCTGGAAAAGCAAAGGACCGGCCCACGGTGCCTCTGCCAGTGAAAACTGTGCTCAGGAAGGCCGTGCGCGACCGTCCCGGGCCCCATTTTCGGCCGTGACGGCCTCCTGCAGCCCTCTGCCAGCAAAACCGGAGCTCACAATCTCGTTTTCGCTGGCAGAGAGCTGCAAGAGGCCGTCACAGCCAAAACAGGGCCCGGGGGGGGGCACACGACCCCCCTGGGCTCTGTTTTCACTGGCAGCGGGCTAGCAAAACAAACTAAAAACAAAACAAAAGGAGGAATGTTTCTTCTTTTACATTTGAGTAAGAAGGGACAGAAAAGGAGAAAGGGAAAGAGGAAAGACAAAGAAAAAAGAGAAGATGGGAAGAGAGCAAGGAAGGAAAACTAAGGAAAGGGGAAGGAAGAAGAAAGGAGAATGAAGAGGGAAGAAAAAAGGAGGGAAGACAGGTAGGCAGGCAGGATGGAGATTATAACGAGAGTGAGGGAAGGTCTGAGGGAAGTCCTGCCTTAGCACTTGGGCACCACAGGTGCCCCCGACACAAGTGACGTCAAATTGGCCATGCCCCCGGCCACTCCAGCTTTCCCCCCTTAATTTTAATTTAATTTAATTTAATTTCCAATTTATATACCGCCCTTCTCCCTGAGGACTCAGAGCGGTGTACAGCCAAGATAAAAAACATAGGTCAAACACAACCCTGATGCGGCCCTCAATGAAATCGAGTTTGATACCCCTGTTTTAGCTAATCTCTTAAAATGGACTCTCTTAAAATGTCCCCAAATTCTGTCTAATACAGGTCGTCCTCGACGTACGACCACAACTGAGTCTAAAATTCATGTTGCCAAGTGAGAAATTAGTTAAGCGAGTTTTGCCCCATTCTACAACAAACTTTTGTTGCCACAGCTGTTAAGTGAATCACTGCAGTTATTAAGTTAGTAACTCAGTTGTTAAGTGATCTCAAAAGGGGATCACGTGACGCTGTCATAAATGTGAACCAACTGTCAAGCATCCGAATGAAAAATCACGTGACCCTGGCGATCTGCAATGGTCATAAGTGTGAAAAATGATCAAGTCACTTTTTTCCAGCGCCGTTTAACTTCGAACCGTCACTAAATGAACTGTTGTAAGCGGAGGACTACCTGTCGTGGGCAAGGTCGTTCAGCTTGATTTTATTATGTTTTTAATTTATCTTTGTTTGACTTACTGTACTTTAACCCTTTGATATCACACTAATCTTATTTGATTAATAATATTCTGCTACTTTACTTTAGCCTGGTCAGTGATTGAAATAAAATGAGTTCATTTTGACTTCCTGGATAGGTTCCATGTTATCTTCAGATCTAATGAAAGGAAGGACTTCTTCATAGCCTTGAAGTTGCTCTCTGTGGGGTTGGAAGCTCTTCCTCACTGTCCTTAAAATAGCCTCCTGTACTTCTAGGTGCTCATTTGCTTACTTTAAACACGCTAATCATGTGTTTACCTACAATCTTTTCTCCTCCAAAGATTAGAAAAGTTTCAGCTTCATGTTTATTTTCCAGTTCTCTCAAGGCAGGGGGGAAAAAAAGCAAAGCAAAGTTCTCCAAAAAGCAATTTTGAGCTTTAAATATAAAAGACTGGTTTTTTTTTGTTTTGTTTTTTGTCTCCCAGAGTTATGAAATGGAACGAAAAAATCGGTCAGAGACTGAAGTGCGATGTCAGCGCTTAACCATTGAACTGGCTGATACAAAACAAATGATTCAGCAAGGTGACTATAGACAGGAGAACTATGATAAAATAAAAAGGTAAGTTTTATCACCAGTCATAAACAGGACTTTCAGCCTCTTTGCGGCATCTGATAGGCCTGTGTTCATATCCTTTTTCCCTTTTAAGATCCAAAACTATCTACCGTGTTTCCCCGAAAATAAGACCTCCCCAGATAATAAACTCAATCGGGCTTCTGAGCACATGAGCTAAAATAAGCCCTCCCCGAAAATATTTAAGTGCATGCACAACCGGTCCCCACCATTTCCTCTGGTTAGGGAGACAGACCTGGATATCAGGTAAGACAGCAAGAGAAGTCCCATCTTGCTCCACTCGCCCAAAAATAATAAGACCTCCCCGAAAATAAGGCCAAGTGCTTATTTCGGGGTTCAAAAAAATATAAGACAGGGTCTTATTTTCGGGAAAACACGGTAACTTTCATTTGATCAAGCATCTATCTTTTCACATGTTAAAGCTGCAAAATTACTTGATTTGCCTGACAAAAGAATAGCAGAGTTGGCACGGACCTTAGAGGTCTTCTACTCCGATCCCCCCACTCAGGCAGGAAACCCTATCCCATTTCAGACAAATGGTTGCCCAATCTCTTCTTAAAAAACCTCCAATGTTGGAGCACCCACAACTTCTGGAGGCAAGTCGTTCTCCCTGATTAATTGTTCTCGCTGTCAGGAAATTTTGGATTGGCTCTCTCCTTGATTATCCCGAAAGGTGCTTTTTCAGGAGGCAACTGGACTTCCTTGTTTTTCTTTGAAGACGTTTGACTTCTCCTCCAAGAAGCTTCTTCGACTCTTGTGTCCTCAGTGTCTCCTGAGTAGTCTGTGAAGCTTTCTTGGCTGCAGGATGTTTTCTGTCCTGTGACCTTTCACCGTTGAACACAGGAACAATCTGTGGGGTTGAGTCTGGGTTATCTGCATCTCAAAACTGAAGCACAAATGGTTCCTGTAACCTGCAGTATTTCTGGAAATCCATTCATACTCCCACCCCATTCAAAGAGTGTTCATCCCTAAGGGCAAGAATGCAAATGACCAGCTGTCTGCAAAGAGTATAAATCCTTCCATTCCCCACCATCCAGTCAGAGCTGAAGAAGCTTCTTGGATGAGAAGCGAAACATCTTCAAAGAAAAACCAGAAAGTCCAGTTGCCTCTTGAAAAAAGCACCCTTGGGACAACCATGACCTGGAATCTCCATAGACATCCTCCTTGATTAGTTTCCATCCATTGCTTCTTCTCCTGCCTTCAGGTGCTTTGGAGAATAGGTTGATCCCCCTCTTCTTTGTGACAGCCTCTTAGATATTGGAAGGCTGCTATCATATCTTCCCTAGTCCTTCTTTTCATTAAACTAGCCATGCCCAATTCCTGCAACCGTTCTTCATATGGTTTAGCCTCCAGTCCCCTAATCATTTTTGTGGCTCTTCTCTACAGTTATGGTTAAAAAGACCTTCCAGGTTCTTATGGGTTGCTGAATAATGGAACAATTTGCATCACATTCTTCTTTTTCTTAGCAGCTTTTTAAGCAGAGGCTACAGAGCCACCAGCTGACACTGTAATCAGAGGGAATTTCCAATGCAAGATGGGTTGAGCTCCGTAATTGTCTACTTCCTTTATTTTTCCTGTAAGATTTATGCTTGTCTTTTGAATCGAGCATCGGACGTTTGAAGAGTTGCTTAATTCCATGCCGGAAACCTTCTCTTGTGACAATGAGCAGGTCAACGGGAAATTTGCTCTCTGGTTTTTTTAGGATTTGTGCAAGGAGCACAAATCTGATCATTGTGAAAGAAATTGTGCTGAAACAAAAGAGTTTAAAATAGCTGTTGTGTGGATCAGGGGTGGGTTCTACTTACCTTTACTACCGGTTCTCAATGGGCTCACACGCGGGCCTTGCTTCTGCGCATGCGCAGATCGCCAATGATGACATCCGGGGCAGTGGGCGGGGCCTCCTGCCGGTTTTACTACCGGGTCTTGCGAACCGGTCTGAACCAGGGGCAACCCACCACCGGTGTGGATGATCTTGGCAAATCTTGTCCTCACAGTTCTGGGGAATTCAGGTTTTTCAGAAAGTATTTTGGGGGAAAAAATCCCAAATCCTGCCAGCAGAGCAAATTTGGATGTGAACAGAGGTGATATTCTTAATAATTCCTCCATTGATCACAACCAGAGGTGGGTTTCACAAATTATTAAGCATCTATCTTTTCACACGTTAAAGCTGCAAAATTACTTGATTTGTCTGACAACAGAATAACAGAGTTGGCACGGACCTTGGAGGACTTCTACTCCGATCCCCCCACTCAGGCAGGAAACCCTATCCCATTTTGGACAAATAGTTGCCTAATCTCTTCTTAAAAACTTCCAGTGTTGGAGCAATCACAACGAATTGTTGTTTCACAAATCGTTGCCACCAGTTCGCCGCACGCACACTTGCTTCGCTCGCTCGCGTGCGCCTTCCATGCATACGCCCGGCCTTCTGCACGCGTGCATGCGCCCAGCCTCGAAAACGTGGCTAATTAGGATGGCATTATGTCCGGGCGGGTGGGCAGGCCCACAGTCGCTGCTACCGGCTCGCCCGAACCGGCTGAATGCCACCTCTGATCACAACCGAAAGCCAGCGAGGGTTGAATTTCCTCACGAAGAGGAGGTGGCACAAGAAACTGGAAACGTCAAAGCTGAGGTTCTATAGTTCTTCTGATGATACAGTAGTATGTTCTTCTCTCAACAGTGAGCGTGATACTTTTGAACATGAATTTTCAGAGCTCCGAAGAAAATACGAAATACTCGAAGTTTCCCACAAGGCCATAACTGCTGAAAGGAATGACATATCCAAAGAGGTGAGAGGTTCAGAGCTCATTTAGCGTTTCTTTAAATGCTCAACCATGCCAAAGGTGGCAACAGAAGACTTTTATTTATCTGTGTGGGGTTTTTTTTTTAAACAAAAAAATGCCCATGCAGATTGTTTATTACAGTTGTATTTTGGAGTAAAGGAAGTCCTGAACTTACAACTTACAGTTCGTTTAGTTCAAAGTTACAAAGGCACTGAAAAAAGTGACTTTTTTTCACTCTTACGACCGTTGCAGCCTCCCCCACGGTCACGTGATCAAACTTCAGGCCCTTGGCAACTGGTTCATATTTATGACAGTTGCAGCATCCCGGGGTTCATCTCAGGGGTGAAATGTAAAATTTGTTACTACTGGTTCTGTGGGCGTGGCTTGGTGGGGGGGTAATGTGAGTGGGCGTGGCCAACTTTTTTTTTTTAACTTTTCAAAGCATTTTTTCTAATGCTTTGAAAAGCCTCTGCTGATCAGGCAACTCAGCTGGGATCGTCAGAGACTTTCCAAAGCATTTTTTTTACCACCTCTTTGGCCGAAGAGGTTGTAGAAAAAAATGCTTTGAAAAGCCTCTGACGATCCCAGCTAAGCCGCCCGATCATCAGAGGTTTTTTTGTTTTTACTTTTAAAAGCATTTTTTCATTGGAAGAGGTTGTAGAAAAAATGCTTTTAAAAGTTAAAAAAAAAAGCCTTTGATGATCGTGCGGCTCAGCTGGACATGGTGGTAGTGGGGGCGGGGACGCAGGGATTTTTGCTACCGGTTGCCCGAACCACCCGCCGCCATCGCTACCGGATCGGGCGATCCGGTCCAAACCAGGAGCATTTCACCCCTGGTTCATCTGATCCTCTTTGGTGACCCTTCGGACGAGCAAAGTCAACGGGGAAGCCAGATTCACTTAACAACGGTGTTACTCACTTAAGAAACTGCAGTGGTTCACTTAACAACTGTGGCAGGAAAGATCGTGAATTGGGGCCAAGCTCACTTAACAACTGTGTTAAGGATATTGTTGTTGTGTAACCAGTCAGCAGAGTGTAGAGCACAGAAACGTTGCTGAGAGCAATGAATAAGAGATGTGCAAATTGGTTTATCGAAAGTTTACTTTATAGTGAAAAAACAATCTCATAGTCTTTAAATCAATCCAAGTCTTTGCCAGTTAAATCAGTCCAGTGATACAAAAATCTTCTTACCACACAAACAGTAGTTGGTTAGAATAACAAACTCACTCTGGTTCACAAACCACGATGGTAGCAGATCCATCCAACGATGATAGCACAAAGATAGCAACTCCTCACACAATGGTAGCTTATCATCAACTGAATACGTTACAGTACCTTTCTTAAATACGTTTACAACCAGTGATTATCTAATTACAGCATGACTCAGCATTACAATGAATCAGCAGTAAAATTTTAAAGTCACACAATACATATTCATATTAAAGTCGCAGAACACATATATTGCCTGGACAACTTGTTAGGCTCAAACCATATCCTAACAAACTGTCTCGCTTAGCAGCAGAAATGTTAGACTCAATTGTAATCATAAGTCTTTGGCTACCTGTATAACTTGAGGCACCCGTGTGGTTAGCCCTCCATGGAAGGCTGTGCTGTTGTCACGTTGGAATTTGTCAATTTGTCCCCTCCCCTCTCTGTCCATCTCTTTCCTCTGAAAGCTCTAATAAAAGCTGACTCACCAGCTGATTATCCCATCCTGATATTAATCTATATTAGTTTCCCCTTTGATATACCAGGAGTCTGCCTTAATTTTTTTTCTTATAATAGAAAAAAAAAATAATAGCACTCCCTAGGAGTGAAAAGGATGGATACGTTTCATAGGTGTCGATCATATATTTATAAATAATTGTTTAAAGGATAGTCCTTGACTTGCAACTTGCAACGGTTAGTGACCATTTGAAGTTATGCTGGCACTGAAAAAAATGACTGTTTTTCAGGCTTAGGACCATGGCAGCATTCCCACGGTCACGTGCTTAAAATTGAGGTGCTTAGTAACCGATTCACATTTTTGACGGTTGCCTCGTCCCGAGATAATGGGATCCCCTCTCCCAACCTCCTGATGGGCAAAGACAACGGAGAAGCCAGATTCACTTAACAATCGAGTTTCTAACATTAACAACTGTGGTGATTCATTTGACAGCTGTGTCTAGGAAGGTCACAAAACGGGACAAAACGCAGTTAGCAAATGTCTCACTTAGCAACATAAATTGTGGTTGTAAGTCCTTGACCGGTAAGGAATTAAAAGAGTGATTAGGTCCACCTGTAAAGGAAAGGAAAAACAATTGCCCGGGAACTTGTATCATAAACTAATAAGTCATCCAAATTTGACATGATTTCTCGAACCATGTCTTTTTTCTTCCCCTGTTGACAAAATAAAGAATTTAATTTAGATGTGGCCAAGCCACTGCTGCATATCACATGCAGAGGTAGCCTTCCAGTGTCGTGCAATGATTATTTGGGCTCCCTTCAACCATTCATCAAATGTCCCGAATTCTGAATTTCTGAATCTTGGAGATGCAGGGCCTTTGATAAGCAACAGTCACAATTAGGCCATGATGCTACTGGGTTTGGTTTGGAATGGAATGAATTTATTTATTGATTAGCCCTTGGGCCATATCAAAGTGCAGAGTTCCAGAAACAAATCATTACAAAAGTTTGGTAGAACAATTTAAATAAAATTGGAATAACGCACGATTAAAAATGCAATTAGAATAAAATGGAATGGAATGGAATGGAATGGAATGGAATGGAATAGAATAGAATAGAATAGAATAGAATAGAATAGAATAGAATAGAATAGAATAGAATAGAATAGAATAGAATAGAATAGAATAGAATAGAATAGAATAGAATAGAGAATGAATGGAATGGAATGGAGGAGAGAAAGAATAGAATAGAGACAGAATAGAGTGGAGTGGAGTGGACTGAGTGCTGGAGAAGACTCCTGCCAGTCCCTTGGACTGCAAGGCGATCAAACCGGTCAGTCCTAGAGGAGATCAACCCTGACTGCTCTTTAGAAGGCCAGATCCTGAAAATGAAACTCAAAATACTTTGGCCACCTAATGAGAAGGAAGGACTCACTGGAGAAGAGCCTAATGCTGGGAACAATTGAGAGCAAAAGAAGAAGGAGACGACAGAGAATGAGGTGGCTGGATGGAGTCACTGAAGCATAGGCGTGAGCTTAAATGGACTCCAGAGAATGGTAGAGGAAAGGAAGGCCTGGGGGAACATTGTCCATGGGGTCCTGATGGGTTGGACACGACTTCACAACTAACAACAACAACAAGAATAGAATAGAATAGAATAACTTTGTTGTCCCTTTGAATGTACACTATTCGGCATACATTAAAATGTAATTTCGTTGCATACAGCTCTCAAAGGGTCACCACCTCCAATATGCACTGCATAAACATGACAAAATAAATAAATAAATAAATAAATACAAAGATTACGCATATACCCACCTATATTATATATGACACAGAGAAGCAACACAGTCTAGTTCGGATGTATACATGTACATAGCGAGAAAACGAACCTTGTGTAGTTTACCAAACGGATGGCCTAGGGAACAAAGCTGTTAGAGATTCTGGTAGTCCTAACCAGAAATACTTCGTAACCTCCTTCCAGAGGGGAGCAACGGAAAGAGACCATAAAGTGGGCGTTGTGGGGTCTCCGACAATGCTTTGAGCAATGGGGGAGTTAGCAGGACAGGCTGACGAGCACAAATTTCCATGTTCCCATTATTGCCGTTGGCACTGTGTTGTAATCCAGAATAAACAAGAGTCAGTTTTCACATCAACTGCATTTGAAACTCAAAAACAACCCAACTGCATTTAAAAGCAACAACAACAACAGCGATCGACTACTGGTTTATGGGAACAGGATATCTAACGTGTGGTATTTTTCCTGTATTTTTTTTTTTCAACGGAAAGGCTACCGCTTTGCAACAGTCTGTGACTTTGCTGCAGAAGGACAAGGACTACCTCAACCGACAGAACATGGAGCTCAGCGTCCGTTGTGCTCACGAAGAAGACCGCCTCGAAAGGCTTCACATGCAGCTAGAAGACACCAAAAAAGCCAGAGAAGAAATGTATGAGAAATACGTCACGTCCAGGTAAGCCGTTTTATTCATCCTTTCGGCACCGAGAGATCCTCGGTTCCTTCTGAAGGTCCTTGGAGATTCTCGGTCATCCAGGTCATAGTTGTCTCAAAAGTGTACCCCCACCCCCCACCCTCAAAAGACAACTAGACTTTGGTGGGGGGGGGTTTCCTTGAGGAATAATAATAATAATAATAATTTTATTTCTATACCGTCCTTCTCCCGAAGGACTCAGGGCGGTGTACAGCCTGATTCAAAGCACAAAGACAGACAAAATTTAAAAATAATTAAAATTATTAAATAATTGGCTCAATTATAAAACCCCCAAATTTAAAATCCCACATTTAAAACCAATTAAAATCTTTACATTGATAGCCCGGCCTGGCGGAACAACAAGATTTTGAGGGCACAGCGAAATACACGGAGGTCGGAGATCTTACGCATTTCTGGGGGCAGTTCATTCCAAAGGGCAGGGGCTCCCACAGAGAAGGCCCTCCCCCTGGGTGTCGCCAGCCGACATAATTTGGCCGATGGCACCCTGAGGAGACCCTCTCTGTGGGAGCAGACTGGCCGGTGGGAGGCTACTGGTGGCAGAAGACGGTCTCAAAGATACCCAGGTCCAATGAAGGAAGAAGAATAAAAGAACACAATCAGTTGTGATGGAGGGGAGGGAGAACTGTCATTACCTAGCCTTCCATTTCCCACCTCCAACCATCAAACTGATGAAGTTTTTTTGGATGAGAAATGAAACGTTTGAGAAGAGTAAGGTAGGGATGAGAAGAGAAGAGAAGAGAAGAGAAGAGAAGAGAAGAGAAGAGAAGAGAAGAGAGCTGGAAGGAACCTTGGAGGTCTTCTAGTCCAGACCCCTCCTCAAGCAGGAAAGCCTATACCATCTCAGACAAGTGACTGTCCAGTCTCTTCTTAAAAACCTCCAGTGATGGAGCACCTACGATTTCTGGAGGCAGGCTCTTCCACTGGTTAATTGTCCTCACTGTTAAGAAGCTTCTCCTTAATTCCAGGTTGCTTCTTTCTTTGATTAGTTTCCAACCATTATTTCTTCTCCTGCCCTCTGGTGCTTTGGAGAATAATTTGACCCCCTCCTCTTTGTGGCAGCCCCTCAAATACTGAAATACTGCTATCATGTCACCCCTAGTCCTTCTTTTCTTTAGCCTGCAGCCTTTCTTCATATCAGGGTGGGTTCTAAAATTGTTTACTACCAGTTCTCTGGGCGTGGTTTGAGGGTCATGTGACAATTATGTAGGATTTAGCAGAGGTACTGGTCTACTAGGCTTTTAGCTGCTTGCAGAGCTGTACCGGTCTACCCATTTATTTTTGCAGGCACTGATCTACTCATGTATTTTTGCAGGCACTGGTCTATCCGTTTATTTTTGCAGGCACCGATCTACTCATTTGTTTTCTTTTAACACTGATCAGTTTTAGGGCGGCCCTTTGAAGCCCCACGGCAAGAGTTTAAACAGTTTTTTTCCCTCTAGTCATCAGCTGGGACTCAGGAGGCAACAATAGATTGGGGGTGGGGCCAAATAAAAGGTAAGAATAACGCGTGGGGTAGGGTGGGCGGGGGGGGCAGAACCAGTTCGGTGACATCATATCGTCACCGCTACCGGCTCGGCAGAACCGGGCCGAACCCACCACTGCTTCATATGGTTTAGTCTCCAGGCCTTTGATCATCTTAGCCTTTCTTCTTCCTCAAGGAATAAAACAGTCCGGTTGCCTTATGAGGGGAAAAAAAGCACTTTTGAGGTTCCACCAGAATGTTTTCAAAGAATCCTTGCTCGTTCCTTTGCACCCAAGAGTTTGCAGCTATAATTCTTAAAACATGGTGGATTACGGTAATCCACCTACAGGAGGTTAGGAAAACTGAGTTAAGAGAAAACAATGGCAATTGTTGTTATTGATTATTCAAAGATAATGGAGATGCGTGTAAATTACGATTAGTTTCTGACCAGATTTCCCTTGGGTTGCCTTTTTTTAATGCAAAAGAACCGACTGATGTCATAACTGTTTTTCTATTATTTTGCAAGAGGAAGGACACATGCAGGGATTAAGCCTGTTAATTAAATTGGAATTTATTATCCAAGGTAGTTAACTGTCAGGTCTTAAAAAGTGAATAAGGTAACCAAACCTGATTTTTTTTAAAAAAAATAGAGTTTAAAATGCACTGAGCCTGTGATTTCTTTACTTCAGGGGTAGCGAACCATTATAGGATTATCTACAGTGTTAAGCAATGCTATCAGCATTGATATTCATTTATCTGAGAAGGAGTGAGTGTGTGTATGTGTATGGAATTTAAGTAGTAATAGTAATGTTGCAACAACCTAGAAAGAAATGCCTTTTTTTTTTTAAGGAAACTCCTCAGTTCTTCTGCCATTTTAATTCTTCTTAAACTCAGCCGGCTGATGTCATTTCAGTAAGAAGAGAAGCAAAGCACATTTATTTATTCCTTTATTTGCTTAAAAGATTTATACGGCTGTCCATCTTGCAGAACACAACTCTGGGTGGCAAAACACAGCGATCAAATTGCAAGCAAAACAAAAAAAACAAAAAACCTAAAACAAGACAAAAAAAAATATTGGACCAAAATACATACGTGGTTAGAAAAAAAATCATAAAGCAACATATTGAATTTAGACCAGGATTATTCCTGTTGGGTATATTACCACAACTGTTTAATAAAGGGAATACATATCTAATCTTACATGTGTTAACAGCAGCAAGAATAGTGTTTGCACACCAATGAAAAAATGATGAGGTCTGACAAATGGAAGTGTAATAAAAAAAAATTAGAACGTGCAGAGATAGACAGATTAACATTAAAAATCAAGGAGGAGGAAGAAACATTACTTTTTAACATGGGATTTGTTTTACCAATGGCTAAACTAACAGGTTAGAAACTAAAAAGATTAAAAGAATGATTAATAATATAATAAAAGTTTTTCTAGTATGGAAAAGCTAATGCTAATATTACTATGTGAACATTATTAATGATATGCATATTATGATGACTACTTTGTTTATTATCTTTTGGTTATTCAAAACGAATTGTACTCGGACAATACACTGTTTATATCAATATTGAGTTTTTTATGTTTATTAAAAAATATATCAATATATTTTTTAAAAAAACCCAAAACAACCATCTCTTAACCATTCGGCAAGTTTTATCAAAGTCAGAAAAGACTATTCATAAATTTTGACATGTTTTATCTTAACGTTTTAAAAATCATTTTGTAAGGGATCACTACAAAACGGAGTACGAAAACAAACTGCATGAGGAACTGGAACAGTTAAGGCAGAAAACATCCCAAGAGATAGATCAGCTTCGAACAGCTACAAAGGAAATGTACGAGCGGGAAAACAGGTTGGTAAAAAGATATTTTTAGACATCAGAGTCCATACCAACTATTGCATGTATCTTTATTCTAGTCTGGCAGGATGGGCTATTCCTCAGCCAGGAAACCAAGTACCCTTCCTCTTCTAATTCTCTCCTCCTCCTCCTCCTCCTCCTCCTCCTCCTCCTCCTCCTCCTCCTCCTCCTCCTCCTCCTCCTCCTCCTCCTCCTCCTCCTCCCTCTTCTTCTTCTTCTTCTTCTTCTTCTTCTTCTTTCTCCTCCTCCTCCCCCCCTCCTCCTCCTCCTCCTCCTCCTCCTCCTCCTCCTCCTCCTCCTCCTCCCCCCCCCCTAACTTGAGGGAGAAGACCAGGAAGAGACCTGGTTGCCTAGGAGCACAAACAAGCAAAAAGTCCAGGAACAGCAGCAGCAGCAGCAGGAATCAGAGGCCCAAGAAAGGGAATTTTGTGATCCAGGGGGAGGGAGAAAATCAGAATAGAGCTGGAAGGGACCTCAGAGGTCTTCTAGTCCAACACCCCCCCCCCCCCGCTCAAGCAGGAGAACCTATATCATTTCAGATAAGTGTCTAGACCAGGGGTCTGCAACCTTAAATACTCAAAGAGCCATTTGGACCTGTTTCCCATAGAAAAGAAAACACCGGGAGCCACAAAACCTGGGTGGGCGTGGTGTTACTCACTTCCACTAGTCACATGACCCACCCCTAGCCACGCCTACCCAGCCAGTCATTAGGGCAGAGAACCAGTTGTTAAAAAACACAGAGAACCACAAATTCCTTTTGATACATCTCCCTCTCCCCTTCCTCCCTCCCTCCCTCCCTCCCTCTCCCCCCTCCTCCATCTCTGTATTTCTCTATGTCTCTCTCTCCCTCCCTCCCTCCCTCTCTCTGTATCTCTCTGTCTCTGCCCCGGCCACTTTTCCATCCCCCACCGTCACCCTTATCTTCTCGGGCTAGGTGAGGAGTGACTGGGAGGGGAGGGGCCGGTGAGGAGCCCCTCGGTGTGAGTGATGTTGAGTTGGCCACACCCACCTAGTCACATGACCTCCCCCAACAAGCCACGCCCACAGAACCGGTAGGAGAAATTTTTTTATTTCACCCCTGCTTAGGGGTTGTGCAAGGCTCCAGGCTGGCCTCCAACATTGCTCCAGCATATGGAAGAGCATCAAAGTGATGACTCCGCCACGCTTTTCTCCAGAAAAGAAGATTGCCTGCCATGACGGCAGCAAGTGGATTTGAATTGTTACTTTGATTTTTATCCAGATTGATTTTTTTTTATTTTTTATTTTTTATTTTTTTTGTGATTGGCTTTTCGGTATCGTTGAACTGGCCACGATACTTTAGCTCGTTTCAATATGTGTGTCTTCACAGTGATTGTGATTATAAAGCAATAGAAATTCCTAGTGAAGGAACTCAGCTCTTGAAGCTGCTGCAGCGAGGAACTAACTTCCGTAAGAAAATAAGAGCGAGCGGGAGAGAGCTGCACGGAATGACAATAAAAAGTGTTTGGAGTTTGTTCCCTCGATTAACCGTTCCAGTGGGTAATTTATTGAGAAACTCTCTGAAAGTGTAGATATGGTACACACTCTCAGTTTGGAATAGCAGATTTTGAATTTGGGCAATATAAGAGTACACTATTTAATTGCTTTTGCACGCTCTTACACATGTACACACATGTTGGATACTTCGTCTAACCACCAACCTTTCCTTGCTTTGTAAAGATTTCAAAATATTCCTCCTTGGCCTTCTTTTCAAAGCAAGAAGTCTTGCTTTAACTTACTCAGACGGAAAAAGAGGTAGCTGTGACCCCTTCCGGCTCTGAGCTTCTATGTATCGTACTGAGGAATAGCAACAGCACTTAGACTTATATACCGCTTCACAGTGCTTCACATCCCTCTCTAAGCGGTTTAGAGTCAGCATATTGCCTCCAACAATCTGGATCCTCATTTTAACAACATCGGAAGGATGGAAAGCTGAGTCAACCTTGAGGCCAGTCAGAATCGAACTGCTGGCATTTGGCAGAATTCGCCTGCAATATTGCATTCTAACCACTGCGCCACCACGGCTCTTTGACGTTCCACCTGCAGCCTTGGAGCATTGGTGGAAGAGCTGCCACCATAGAACAAACACTGTTCGGGACATCTCTCCATTGCATTTATAGCCCTAAAATCCGATTTGCTGTCGCTGGCACTTCTTTGCCACAGGTCTGTTGTCATAAAATGCAGTGAAAATCTAAAACGGGCCTTAATAAGTTCCATGTGCCTCCCTGATCAAAAGCACGTGACTAAAAAGCAAATAGAGAGAGTAACTAAATATTTTCTTCTTTTATATGAAGAACTCCAGACAGAGAGAACTCCGGTTTTGGAGTTTCCCTTTTGAGTGGTTGAGAGAACTTTGCGTCTGCTGTGATTCTGCCAAATGATCAGACTCTTCAAACCAGCCCAGTCTAGGCTGAGATCCTTCCAAATCCGACGCACCCCTCTTCTTTTCTTCAAACATAGTTTTTCATAGAGAAATTGAAAGTAGAGATAAAGAATTCTTTTACTCGCATCTCAGATACTTGTGGTAGAATTCCACGGCTACCAAACCCACAATTATTTAGTTGTTATTTTCTAGCAATCCTTTTCCAAATGTTTTGTTTTTCACAGTGAAGGAGGCCTTAAAATGCCAGAATATAGGACTTAATTAAAGAAAGCCTGCCATAATAACGAATCCCGCTGATCTGGTCACAAGTTATTAAAATGCAAACCTAAAAAAAATTGTGCAGAGAAAGCAGTGCATAAAACGCAGCTTCGTGCATCGGCTGGATGTGCGTGAACACGACAGAAATGTCAAGATTTAAAATGATTTCAGGCAGGTGAAGAACTAAAATAGGCAAGAAAGCATTTAGCCCTTATTATTTACCTTTCTCTTCTCCGCCGCCTTCACCAGTCAGCAAAATTATGCCAACCACTAATTGCATCATGGAGATTAACAAATTTTTGGCTTCCCGTGTTCCGACTTGTATGGCATTACATAAAACAAGCTCAAGGTCTGTTTCTTTTAGGGAGCTTTGACAGATATAAAAATGTTTGCAGGCAGTATGGCTAAGAATATTGTTCTGGAAATGTTTGGCAGAAATCCTGTTCCTCCTCATCTCGAAATGATGTGATGACTTGGCTGCCAAATCTTGAATGTGGATGATTTAAAAGTACGTTTCAGAATCTTAAAAACAATGCTTTATTTTTATCCTTGTTGGGACAGAAGGGGTGTGGTGAGTGGGTGAATCATTCACGCTTCCCCTGTGTTTTTGTCCTCGAGCTTACGTGCTTTCTGGTCTGTATCCCTTCATCCTTTTGTGCGTTTTAAACTTGCACCATGTTACAACACTTGCATCCGGAACTTCTAAGTTTCCCTTGCTGTCTTCCCCAGCATGTGATCAACTGCAGGACTAACAGAATAATAGTGTTGGAAGGGACCTTGGAGGTCTTCTAGTCCAACCCCCTGCTTAGGCAGGAAACCCTACACCACTTCAGACAAATGGTTATCCAACATCATCTTAAAAACTTCCAGTGTTGGAGCATTCACAACTTCTGGAGGCAAGTTGTTCCACTGATTAATTGTTCTCACTGTCAGGAAATCTCTCCTTAGTTCTAGGTTGCTTTTCTCCTTGATTAGTTTCCACCCATTGCTTCTCATCCTACCCTCAGGTGTTTTGGAGAATACTTCACTCCCCCTTCTTTGGGGCAGCCCCTGAGATATTGGAACACTGCTATCATGTCTCCTCTAGTCCTTCTTTTCATTAAACTAGACATACCCAATTCCAGCAACCGTTATTTACATGTTTCTATGTACAAGGTAGACTAGACCTGTGATGGCGAACCTATCGCATGCATGCCAGAAATGGCACGCAGAGCCATCTGGGCACACCAGCCATCGCCAGTTGCTCTTCCGGGTTCCGGCACGTACATGCGTGCCGGCCAGATGGTCTTCGTGCGCATATGTGTACCAGAAATCGGAAGACCAGGTGACCAGCGACGTTGGAAACCAGAAGCTCATCTTCCTGGTACATACATGCGCACCGGGGAACTGGTCTTCCGGTTTCCGACGCTCCTGCGTGTGCGCATCAGGGAGCTGCTCTTCCGGTTTCTGGTGCTCCCCCCCGCACGCTCCCGTTTCGGCATTCGTTGCTGGACTAAGAAATCAACTCTGTATAAACCAGGCATCCGTTTTGTTCTGTTGTTGTTGTTGTGCCAACCAAAGGGCAGAACTTTGCAAGTCTCAATGTGCTTCCCACTTTATCTCTGTGTGAAGGAGGGAGGGGCTTGTCTGAGAAGTTTTCTCAGGTTGTTTCCTTGGCCCAGTCTCAAGCACCTCTAATTGTCTAATTGTTGCTTGTCTTTTCCTCCTGTCCTTTGAGGCAGCAGTCACCAACTGCCGTGAGACTACACGGTCTACACGAACCAGTAGACCGTGGACTACTGGTGGTCCGTGAGAAAATTTTGGTGGTCCGCAGAAAAATTATTTGCATTTTTTATATTACACTAAATTAGGGCTCCTCACTACAACCCCTGGGCCGGATACGTGCAATGAACGTTTGTGTTGCTGCAGAGAGTCTCCCCTTTCGGGGTCTTTTTTTGTGGGTCAGAGGGGGGAGAAATTCCGACTCGGGGTCTGCTTCAGCCTCTTGGTGCGGGGCTTTGGGCGAAGGCTGGAGAGAAGCACCGCTGGTGGCCAATAGCCAGAGGACCTTGTTCCAGTGGGACTGCATCATGGTCTGGAACTGGCTGACCACCTCACCCCGCTGAGCCTCCAGGCGCCTGTACCTGGCCTTGCACTCCTGCAGGTGTCCCCTCTGCTTGGAAAGCCTATGCTCCTAGTCCTCAGTGAGGTACTTCTGCTGAGCCTCCTTCTCGTCAGATCCAATTTGAACTGAGCCAGCTGTTTTGTCAACTCTTTCTTGTGGTGGCTGCTTAGCTACAACAACTGCTTCCTGTTGGGGCCTTAAGGAGCTCGGGCGGGCCAGCGAGGAGTGGCT